AGACTAACACGACTAAGAGCGGTTCACGTTATTTTTCCGGTTCATCAACAAACTCCCATACTGGTAGTTCTCGGGCTGAAGATGTTAGTCGATCAGACAGTGTTTACAGCTCGGTGAGATATTCATCATTGGTCTCTTTGTTATCTTTGACTTTTTGTCTGTGTTACAAGAGAAAACCATATATGTGCAAGTGAACAGTATAAATGCTTTTCTGGAAGTTAATCTAAAATGTTGATCTGTCGTTTCGTTCTCGCAAGTGCTTGCCTTAAAAGTTAATAAGGACTAATTCAACAAACTCGAGTGATCTCATAATTTTTCAGTCGGCTTCATTAAATATTAGAATGACATTTGATAAATTCGAGGTTTTTGTGAATATTAACTAGTCATCGAAACCCGTTAAGGGCTGTAGCTTGGCATCCTACCCTCAAAATTAGTTTGCTGGTTCATGTGTCTACAAATCGAGTGCATTCAGGTAGCAATTCATGGGTATACACTAAGGCTCTTTAAGCATTTGAATCAGGTTTACAGGACTGCGGTGGCTGACCCAGTGATATGGTTATCTTAAGAGCTAAAAACGTTTAATTGAACGAATTTTCGCCTTCATTTCGGCCGTTTTCGCTTTCATCTTAGTGTTGCAGCTACTGAAGGGATAGTATTAACCACAACGTTCAACTTAAGTGATGGTTTTTTCGGGTTTCTACCATACATTCACTTCATTTTTTTATGCTTCAAATGATGAAAGTACGAAATCGTTCTCCTTCTCCTTGTGCTTCATTCATAAAACCACTAGTCAGCTTAATAGTCCGTCTATATCCATCAACTTGCTCTTTTGAAGTTGATTTCCAGTCACAGGTAAAATGAACAATAGAGTTAGGTTTTTCAAACGAGTTCATAACCCACTACTGACTATGCACTACTTATTATCTGACGAAAATTGCATGAACGTGGAAGACAGCACTGACCATTAGTATATACTCTGGTGACTTTTATCTAAGTTAATTATAACATCTTGGGTGTATCGTTAGGGAGATTATGGGTCTGAATGACTTCAGTCATCAATAGTTAGTCAAATGTAATGTCAGCGTACTCTATACTTTTATTTCGTCCTAGAAATCAAGCCGACGTCGTAAGTGCAATGAAGCCAGTCTTATTTTGTCTGTCTACTTGAATGTCTTTACAATTAGTTTCTGATATTTATCGCATCTGTTTATATCTTTGAATTCTCAAGTAAAACATCATTTTCGAGACAAAAACACAGAAGCTAATGGTTTCATTTAGAGGAATCATATTGCGTACCCATTCCCAGTAGACCTTCGAAACTGGCTTATGCGTAGTAGAACTAAGTTTCTGTTTCAACTCTTTAATCACTAATTTTGATCAATTATAAGTCGATGATTAAATGAGGACTTTCTCTAACTTGATTTTCATGTGCTGCCAGTCTTTGTCACCTCATCAAATTAGGGAATTACAAGCCTGTTATTTTTTACTATTTAGTTTAGTTGTTTCTGACATTATGTATTGATACCCAAAATCACTCAATGACATGAATGTTTGCGCTTTATCTTGTGAACATTTCGTAATTATTTACTTTCTGTTTCTCTATATCATTCGTTTTTCGGTGTATTTTTTGTTTCTCGTGTACTACTGTTGTCACGTATTTTTTATCTAGTGGTTTTTCTCTTACTGATCTCTTGTTGAAATAAGATTTAGAGGCTTAGACTGGTAAACATTTTTCTAGGTCTTATGCTGTTAGTTTCTATTCGCAGGATATGAATCAAATCTGAGTTGTTATCACAAATAATATGGTTTTGTGGTTCATAATATTATATTAGTATATTTCAAACAGAAGTTTTCCAGATTAGCTGTAAGGATTTGTGATGATACTTTTTCGTAGGGAAGTTCCTGTGGTCATTTTATCTCACTATTTATAGGTCGCGTTATTAAATTTAGATGGAGTTTTGTAGTTTTTAGCAAAAATCCTCTAGGGAAGGATCTCTCGGGTCCAATTTCGTCTTATTTTTTGGAAAGACGATGAAACATATCCTTAAGCTAAGTACTCATAATTTATTTGAAGTCAAATATTTATAATCCGTATTTAGTTATGATTATGTGTGATAAGGTTTACAATGACTATTACTTATCGAATATAGTAATAATCAGGTATAAATGGATAGACGGAAGCATTTTATTCTTATCCGCGAATTGGAAAAGGAAGTCCCACAAGGTCGCCCATGAATCATAGAAAATTGATAACGATTAGTAATTATAAGAAAGGAAGGATCTAAAAGTATTGTCAGTCATTCAAACGCAACGTAGAATTTGGCACATGTGTACATGGGTCCAAGTCGCTACATCTTATTAGCTTTGCGAAATGAAATCGGGGTAAATCCAGTGGTAGTAGGGGTAGTAAGTGTTAATGGCAATACAAAAGATCAGGCATCCAAGATACACTTCAAGAGAATATGGGTTTAGTATAAATAAAAATGTTTCACAAGGCAATTTAGAAATTGAAGTTCCACCTAAGGACGGAGTAAATGTACCTGCGTCATTTTGAGCGATTCCGAGCAATGAGACCCAGTCTCTGACCACTAATTACAAATTTTATCGGACCCTAACCGGGTAGTCCGAACTTATGTACATGACCTAGTCCAACACGATCTCCATGAAGTGATGCAAAATTTAGTTTGATCACTCATAGTATCCTTCCGATCAACCACTAAACTAGCCGTCATCGTGCGTTGAGGCAGTCAGTGGATTAGCATACGTAATCCATGTCCTAACCGTCTCACTCAAAAAAGATTTATTACCTTGTCAATCGATCTTTCATACCTAACTAGCACTTCGCGTCTAACTTCAGGACTGCTAACTCGATGGTCGCAGCATATATGAGCGTCTTCACCAAACTAGGCTAGAACGATCATAACTTTGTATAATTGGAAACTACCACTTTCTCATCATTTTAATAGACTGATAATGTTGCAGAAAGGTGGTGGTATTTTAAGCTATGTTCAAAAAAGGAACGAAAATGGTGAGCTTTTCGCACACAATTTGGATTCCCTTACGTGCATAACAGGCTTCAAGAATGCAAAAGTGACAGAACCTCACTACCTTTTGAAGACCTATGTTGACGTTGTAGATAACTTTAAATAATCGGCCTGTTTTGCGTGAATGATTTATTCTCTCGATGTGTTCCATCATTGCTCTTCTTTTGTAACCATACACAACAATGTTTCTGAACCCCCATCCAGAACACAGATGACTGGTTTATCGAGTTCTATAAGAACAGGGGGATTGATAAGTGGACATTGGAGTAGTCAGATGCAAGAGCTCATCTTTTATTTCATTGAAGGACCTTGGCTTCAAAGTTACTGCAAAAAACGTTTTAGATGGATTTGCAATGCTATTCTTTAGGATTTCTGCAGTATTGTCACGTTTAAAGTTAATGCTTATGTTGAGCGCATGTTTCAGTACATAGATAACTTATTTTCTAGGTTCTGTACTTTTGTTGACAAATTCTGATGAATATCTACTTTCGGCCGGTATTTTCTAAACAGGGCTAGCTTTTCTACGACCTCAAGATTGCAGACTTTACGGATTCATATAGCGAGAGGTGTAGTCAAATTATTCCCCATATCGGTTAAGGCTTAGGTATAAAAGATTGCTTAGTGATCTTTCCATCCAGGTCTTCCGTAGATTGCTCTGTGTAAAAATCCTTCACGTTTCTTTATCACCTCATAGCATCTAGAAAGTTGTTCTGTCTGTTTTTTACTCTATAAGTAAGTTTAATTGCTAGTTGAAGGCTGTTGAACATCTAAAAAAATACAATTCAGGTTGCACATCGTAAATAATCGTAGCATCATCTACGTACATTTTGTATGGATGAAAATCGCTGATAGTGGGTTTCACTTGGCATTTTTTCAGAATAGCCATAAGCCAGATTGCTAGCAATAAACCTGAAAGAAGACCTTTGATAGTCTTTTTTTCAATTGTGTGGATAAGTACAACATGCTTCTGAAGGTTTTCTCGTTTTCGTCCCGCCTTTATTTTTGGCAAGTAGTAACTCTTAGCAAACTTATTATGGATTATCGCTGTCTAAATAGTATATATACACAATTGTACAACTGAGAAGATTAAATCCTCAAGGGATAGACCGCTTGGCTGAAGAATTTCCGTTTTTATCTTCCTCACTACTTTTTTCTGTGCATTCAAAACGCCGTTGAACTTAAAGTGGTGCTAAGCCCAAATAATAGTTGAACTTGTAATACGACGGGACGAATTATTACAGTTGTGGTACATTTTAGAATTCTCGACTGTGTTGTGTTCTGCGTTCATCAAAATGTCCAACCCATCTCAAGAAGTAAGGCTTTCACATCAAAATCGTATCGTTCATCATTTATTACTTGTTTATTGTCTAGTAAGTGTTCTTACTTAGTTTTTAGTTCGTTTAAACCCTCTCTAGAGATATTACACAAATTTATCTTTTATAATACTTTAAGTATCAGCAAACCTAATAAGATAAAATTCCTTTGTCAACTAATATGGGATTGTAAGTAGACTTTCTTGTAAATAACAACCATCTTGCACAAGCAATCCACAATTTTTCAAAAATAAGGTCTTACTGTGTTGCACTTGATATTGTTCTTATTAAACCTCTCAAGCAGTTAGAGTTCATCCTCAACTATTAATTGTTCATTTTTACATGAAAAGAGCTGCTCTGAAAAATGAAATGTATAGCTAATTCATCTTATAATGCTTTTGCAAATAATAATATTTATTTCGAATAGTAAGGTGGATTAACGTGTTGCGCGATTATTTAACCCCCGTGAGTTACGTTAACTTAAACAAGCTTTGTCATAGCGAACCAATATATAAAGACAAGTAGTACATCAATCATTTCATCATTTACATTTGTGCGTGGTGCATCCACATGTCATGAAACACTCTTCTAAGTGTAACCAATCAGTTTCTAGCTAAAAAACCTGTTGTGAATATTAATGAGATTAGACTATTTACCATTTTCACACACATCATAATCATATTCATTCTTACTACTTTTCTCATGTTTCAACCACCAGAAGACAATCATTCTTTCGTTTCTCTATCAAGCATACAATCAAGAGCGTCCACTCTAACCAATAATTCACGTAGAAAAACCAAGTTTCCTCATCGTATTATTGATAATTTTCAAAAATGGGCTTTTAAATCGTCCAGTCAAAAAACGTCTCACACTTCAAGTATATCTTCATTAAACTCAAGTCGTTTACCAAATGATAACGAATTAAGTGACAGCTGTGACTTAACTTCTTTCACCATATCTGAACGTGAAGAAAGCATTGTTTCCGAAGTAATTCGTAACCGTAAGCAACTAGAATCCTTGGTTTGTGGTCATTCTGATTTTGTTCGCAATCACGACTCACTATCTATCGATCCAGGTATAGTTGTAGTTCTCTCTAACCATCTTAGGCGTTGTTCACTGTTATATATCGGCTTTGGAAATGGCTGAACTGGAATTACGAAGCCAAGTTCCTTTAGATTCAAATGGAATGTTTAAAATGGAACAAGTTAATCATTCCAAGAATAATCTGGGTCGGATACTGAGCGTTCGTAACCCATATCGAAGAATGAGACTACTTAGCCCCTCCCCATGTGTTTTGGCTCCAAATGGAAGAATTTCAAACTCAGTAAGGTGTACCAAGTTACCAAATCAATATTTTTATTTACTATAACTTTTATTCTAAATTATAAATTTTTTCTTTTTTCGCAATAGAATATTGAAGAAGATGCGCGACTGGGGTTTGCAAATCTACCTGAACAGATGCACAGGAAAGCTGTCAAGAAGGGCTTCAATTTCACTTTGATGGTTGTCGGTGAGTTAATTTAATCCGGCACTTGCGGTGTCCATTCCTTATGACAAGGATATTTCTCATGAATTTAATATTGGGTTGAATAGCTTTTTCGTGTTTAACCTTCATAACAATTGACTGTGTTCATTTTAGTCTGTAAAATTAACTTACAATCAAAGTTACCTACTCACTCACTGCACAATCAACATTTCTTTTTACGCATCTACGGTTACATTTATCGTCAGTATCATATTTCGGTATAGTCTTGTTGGTGAGTCTCAATTGATATCTTTGCATCACCTCTTTAACTATTAACGAACACTTTAGAATCTCAAAAAAATACTTGTTAGCGTTGTTTTAAACCATACACCTAGCTAACACATTATTTTGTATTGATTGGAAGACATCAGTTGTTATTTTGGAGGGGGTTAATGAACGAATTTCGTGTTTTTAAAACAAATGAATAGAATATTCGTCGTGTAGATGATGTGGAATTATAGAACGTGACCGATTGTTGGTTGCTCATGAGACCAGATTATTGACTCAGTCTCCTGAATGAACTGATATAAAATACAAGACCACAGGTATAGAAATCTTGAACACAACAATAAATATGATTAGACGTTAAGACATTCAACTTTCAATCACTCCGTCCACTTCTGTTTAGGGTAAACGCATTTACAAGATGCTGCTAGCCACCTAATAGTTAACTCTCAGCTTTAACTCTTTAAATAAATTCATCTCCTACCCAGAGATTTAATATCTTGAGGTACAAAGACAACACAGACCTGTTTGTTAAAGATATAATTTGATGGTACAGAAATATTTCATCAATTTTAGTGGATTGATAGGAAATAAACTGTCGGAACACTCACTTGACTTTTGTAAATATAAGATCCCGAAGATTTAGCGAAGATGTCCATCTGCCCATTGAACCATGGCAGATAGGTCTGTAAACTTTAATCTGCTTAAGTAATCAGAAGATATTATTTCGCACGACTAATCATCGTCTTCTGGTTAACGTACACTTTAATTAAAGAAAGGTTTTCTATCAACCACTAACTCCACTGACTTTCGATGTTAGCTGGTCGATGTGTCGAGTTTAACCGTACAGGTCTGTCAAGCAACTGTAATCAGTGGGATGTGAGTCGAAATCTGTTATAGTGGTCAGATTCACACACTTTTAATCTTTAGCGTTTAAACTTGTTATTCTACAGACCCCCTTCTCTAGCCTTGTCTCTTTTTCATTTGCATTCTCAGTTTCCCAGTGGCATTGGTATGACTATTTTCAGTCATCTGCCTTTCTCCTCTTGATTTTCCATTATAACACCCGTAATATGTACTCATTTTTACCAGGTTTTTACTTTATTCGTGGATCTATCTAATTTATACCATTTCTATACCATTTAAAACCTATAATTATCGCATTTTTATGTTACTGTTATATGGTGACTGACATAAATTAATTCGATTGATTTCTAAATGCTGCTCTCAGGTGAAAGTGGTTTGGGCAAATCAACGCTAATTAACAGCTTGTTTGTCCAAGATTTATACAAAGATAGAGAAATCATTGAAGCAAATAATCGTGTTCAAAGCACAACTCAAATTGAAAAACGTCAAATTGAATTGGATGAGCGTGGAGTCAAGTTACGCCTTACTGTTGTCGATACTCCCGGTTTTGGTGATGCTGTGAATTGCAATGACTGGTAAGTTTATCATATGTATATAATCTTAGTTTACTTCTATGTCAAACTCTTAACGTTAGTATAATAGAGTATGTGATACTTTTTTTGATGCTACCGCCATACTATTATTTTGTTAAATTAAATAATATTTAGTGACTGACAACTTGATTTGTTCTTTCTCATATTATTTTCTTTCTATAATATCAAGTTTAAGAACTTCCATTATAGACTAAGATTAGCTAGAAAAGTGCATATATCAAGCAGTGCTAGACTGTTCTTTCATCCTAATTCCAGACGTTAATCGGTGGATACTCACAACTCATATTCGACCGAACTCAAAGCCTTTATGCCTCATGTATATCACAACTACCAAGTCCAACCTATATTATACAGGCAACAGAATTTCACGAAAGTTTAGAAACTCCATGTCCATACACTAGTAAATACGTAATTATTTAGTATGTTCCTCTGTGAAAATTTTCTGAAAGTTAAGCTTCATGATATGCTGAAATCAGCCGGTAAACTCATTGTATTTTTCCTAATGCTGAGAAGTCTAAAACTCAGATAAGTCGATTCTCCGCTGTTCTTCCTGGTTTTCATTACTTATCCAGATAACATCAATCTGTAAGATTTTTCCGTAAACAATGTACCTAAATGTAAGTTTTAAAATTGTGTAGGATTCGTTAAAATATAATAATAATATTATATATCATTTCATCCAAATAATTTTAATACTTTTGGTAAGTAACTAGATTTCCAGGGGTTGAACTTCTACCGGGAGGTTCACTTGTTGACTTGGAATATGCTGATGACATAGTTTTATTTGTTGAAGACGCTGACAAAACGCAGAGTCTTCTGATCACTCTAAGCAACAATGCAAGCATGTTCGGGATGCGATTCTCCCTCTCGAAATGCAAAATGTTGCTTCAGGATTGGGTTGCATTGACACCCGAACTAATGATAGGGAGTGAAGTAGTTGAGCGTGTCGATCGCTTCACTTATCTTGGAAGTCTCATCAGCCCTTGTGGTCTGGTGTGTGACGAAGTCTCAGCACCGATACAGAAGGCTCGACTAGCTTTTGCCAACTTGCGTCATTTATGGCGTAGACGAGATATCCGTCTATCAACCAAAGGACGCGTTTACTGCGCAGCAGTTCGTTCCGTCCTACTTTATGGCAGTGAAACATGGCCGGTAAGAGTAGAGGATATCCGTAGGTTACTAGTATTCGATCATAGGTGTCTTCGAGTGATTGCTCGTATATCCTGGGACCATCGAGTAAGTAACGCAGTTGTTAGGAAACGGGTACTAGGTAAGGATGGCAAATCAATTGATGAAGTAGTGAAACTTCATTAGTTGAGATGGGTGGGACACGTGTTACGTATGCCCAACAACCGACTGCCTCGATATGCGATGTTCATTGGTATAGGAGAAGATGGGAAGAAAGGTAGGGGCGGTCAGACCAAAACATGGCACAAGTCCATGAAGTCACTGACAAGTGGACTGTCATGTTGGTAGGTGTAGACTACTTGGTTGGGGACCGAGAGATGATAGCAACCGATGGTTAGAGACCCCGAATGACATGTCTCAAAATCGTTTGCAATGCCGCAGGTGCATACACTCTTTGTGTTCTCCCAAATTTTGATCTCTTTATTCCTTCTTGTCTCTTTTTTTTCTCTTCCCAAGTTTATTTCACTGTATTATACTCTTTAAATAACATCTCCAAACACTAATTTTCCCGATTACTGCTTATACTCTTATTACCTCTACCACTACGCGATTTGAGTCGACCACTGCATCTGTGTGCTAATGTGGTGTGGCAACTCGAACCGATGTACGTACGTACGAAGTTCTCAGTCAGTAACAACGTAGAACTTCGTACGTACGTACATCAGTTCGAGTTGCCACACCACATTAGCACAGAGATGCACTTGTCGATTCAAATCCGGTAGTGGTAGAGGTAATAAGAGTATAAGCAGTAATCGGGAAGATTAGGGTTTGGAGATGTTATTTAAAGAGTATAATCCAGTGAAAGAAATTTGGAAAGAGGAAAAAAGGGACATGAAGAATTCAGAAGATTAGAGTTTGGGAGAACACAGAGAGTGGATGCACCTGCGCCATTGCAAACGATTTTGAGCCATGTCATTCAGGGTCTCTAACCATCGGTTGCTGTCATCTCGCGGTCCCCAACCAGGTAGTCTACACCTACCAACATGACTCAGTTCACTTGTCAGTGACTTCATGGACTTGTGCCATGTTTTGGTTTGGCCGCCCCTAGCTTTCTTCCAACCTACTCCTATACCACTGAACATAGCACGTCGAGGCAGTCGGTCGTTGGGCATACGTAACACGTGTCCCAGCCATCTCAACTGATGAAGTTTCACTACGTCATCAATTGATTTGCCATCCTTACCTAGTACCCGTTTCCTAACAACTGTGTTACTTACTCGATGGTCCCATGATATACGAGCAATGTTTCGAAGACACCTATGATCAAATACTAGTAACCTACGGATATCCTCTACTCTTACCGGCCATGTTTCACTGCCATAAAGTAGGACGGAACGAACTGCTGCGCAGTAAACACGTCCTTTGGTTGATAGACGGATATCTCGTCTACGCCATAAATGACGCAAGTTGGCAAAAGCTAGTCGAGCCTTCTGTATCCGTGCTGAGATTTCGTCACACACCAAACCACAAGGGCTGATGAGACTTCCAAGATAAGTGAAGCGGTCGACACACTCAACTACTTCACTCCCTATCACTAGTTCGGGTGTCGATGTAACCCAATCCTGAAGCAACATTTTGCATTTCGAGAGGGAGAATCGCATCCCGAACATGCTTGCATTGTTGCTTAGAGTGGTCAGAAGACTCTGCATTTTGTCAGCGTCTTCACCAAATAAAACTATGTCATCTGCATATTCTAAGTCAACAAGTGAACCTCCTGGTAGAAGTTCAACCCCTGGAAATTTAGATGAGGAGAGTGTTATCTCTAAAAGTACGTCAATGACAAAGTTGAACAAGAATGGAGAGAGTGGACAGCCCTGACGAACACCACTTGAGGTAATCAATTCTGATGACAGTTCGCCATAAGCTCTCACTCGACCAGTTGTGTTCGAGTAGAGAGCCTTTATAAGGTTAATGTACTTCTTTGGTACTCCTTTCAGTGACAAACACTGCCATAGAACCTCACGATCAACGGAGTCGAATGCCGCCTTAAGGTCGAGAAATACTACCATTGTGGGGCGTCTGAATGTGTGTCTCTGTTCTAGAACCTGACGTAGTGTGAATATCTGATCGATACAACCACGTCCAGGTCGAAAACCAGCCTGGTTTTCTCTAGTCTGCTCTTCACGAGCTTTAGTTAGGCGTCGAAGTATTATTGAGGCTAATATTTTAGACACTATATTAGTCAAACTGATTCCTCTGTGATTATCACAAGAGGACTTTTGTCCTTTCTTAAAAACTGGCACAATCAGTGATTGAGACCAGTCAGATGGGATTACGTCCAGTTCCCAAATTCTACCTAAGACCTCAGTTAATCTCATTGCTAATACTGGACCACCATCCTTAAAAATCTCAGGAGTAAACCTGTCAGGGCCTGCTGCTCTCCCTCGTTTCAGATTTCCTATGGCTTTTTCAACTTCGTAAAGGGACGGAGGACTTACATTAACTTGCCATTCAGGTTGACTAGAGATCGTGGGAAACCGAAGTGTGGCTGAAGGCCAGTTGAACTGATCCCTAAAGTGTTCTGCCCATCGATCCAATCTCCTGGATTGAGAATGAATAATATGTCCATCTTTCTCTGAGATTGTTTCGCTAACGGTCGGGTTCCTAATTCCGGTTTCCTTAACGAGTCTAAACAATTGTCTGCTATTACCTATTGCCGCTGCCTTTTCCATCTCTCTTGCTTTCGCTACCCACCACTGTTCGCGATCATTGCGTAGACTTCTTGTCAGCTTGCGCTTAAGCTGACTCCGCTCTTCATTATGTTCAGAGCCAGGTGGAATGAGTTTTCGAGAATCTATCAGTGCGATAGATGCTGCTGAGATCCAGTGTTGCTCCCTAACTTTACGGTTTACCTTACTAGCAGATATCACTGCTGTTTCCACAGCTTTTCGGATATCGTTCCATGCTGCCTCGGGGTGGGCATCACATACATGGCTGCCTAACTGTTTTCCTAGTTGTTCCTGAAATATATTCTTAGCTTGACTATCATTAAGTAGGCCCTAAGAGGTTTCCTTGCAGCGTCTTTCCTACGTCCAGTAAGACGCAAGTAAATACGCGCTCGCACTAGAGCATGATCTGAATCTAGGCATGTGCTCCAGAATGAGCGACAGTCTTCTATCGAGCCCCTCCATCGGTGGCTGATAGCGATGTGATCTATTTGGGTCCAACGTTGGGACGAATTAGGGGGTCGCCATGTTAAAAGATGTTTTTCCTTATGCTTAAAGTTAGTATTTGCAAGGAACAGGCGGTTATCTGAGCATAGCTGCAACAGACGGTCGCCATTATCTGTTCTTTGAGCCACGACACCATAGGATCCACCTAGGTGTCTTTCCTTATCGCTTAGTTTACCTACTTGAGCATTAAAGTCACCGGCCACTATTACTACATCCGAGCGCTTAGCTTTTCGGAGAAGGTCCGAAAGCTTTCTGTAAAACTCATCTTTTACATCATCTGAGCTGCAGTCAGTGGGAGAATAGGCTGAGACGACGAAGAGGCAACGACGAGTGTCCCTATCTTTACGGATTCTTACTGTTCCGTTCAGTCGGACAGCGCACAAACGACTGTTTACTGGGATCCACTCTAAGAGAGCTAGTTCTGCCCTAGGACTCAATGCTATACCTACGCCGGCGAGGCCACGGGAAGCAGAATCAGGGCTTCCAGATACACGAAGCGTAAATCGAGTCGGTTCTTTATTTTGGCATGGTGAGGTCAAATGAATGACGCTACTTGGATCCTGTATGCGCGTTTCGGAGACGCAGCACACATCGATGGCGCGAGATTCTAAAGTTTTAGCTAAGGAAGCCTGCTGTCCTATTTGGCAAAGTGTTCGTACGTTAAAAGCTCCAACGTGTAGTTTAGAGCGTGGTTTCAGGAGACCAGGAATGGCGTTCCACGTACTCGAATCGTTTGCCCTAGCGGTACGAGGTGATAACGAGACGTGAGGAGGGTTAGTCGGGAGGATAAGAGAGGTATTAGGGGGTGTAGGAAGGATTTGAATGTGACCACCTTGGTCTCTTGTGCTGTTACGGGTATGAGGGCTGATGTCACTTCCCGGCTGCCCACACCGTGGAAGGGTATTTCTTGAGGGACCTGAAAAGGAAATTGGATTAGTGTTGGTCTTGACGACCTGGGAGCGTGACCGCAGAGCCCAAGGGACAACTGCTTGAGGCCGGTCGCGCACGGCCTTTTTGTGGAAGGTTTTTGACGTGTTAGCTCCGTTCTTCAAAGGGCCTTACCGCCGGAGACGGAAATCCGTGAGGTAAGGTGAGGTGTGCATTTTTAGGGTCGACCTTTTCTAACCCCACCCCTCCTTGTGGGAAGGCAGCATCGCTGTCATGCTGGTTGTCCGAGGGAAACACCTTACTGCTGTCACACCTCTGTACAGTCAGCAGTACGACTTCGCCCTCAAACCTTGAGTTGCTGCTTTTAGTCTCACCGTTCTCCAATCGACCTGCCTGGCATGGTAGAACCTGCAGGAACATATGTTCCAGCCAATATAGCTCGGTTGGGTCATCACGATAGGCAAGCCCGACCACCGCGTCAAGGTAGCAGCTTCGATCGGGTACGAAGTTCTACGTTGTTACTGACTGACTGACTGAAGTAACTGAGCACTTTCCAAGATGCTGATCGTTTTGAAGGTTTGTTTGTGGATCACTTATCTTATTATTCAAACTTCTAGTTAGAATTGATAATTAACACTGATTGCTTTTTCTTTTTCAAGCTATATTATAAAACGACTGTTTATCTGAGATGTGTTTAAAACTCGTGTTAACCTTTTGTTTTGTACTTTTTCTTAGTTGGAAACCAATAGAAGATTACATAGACAGCACATTTGAACAATATTTTAAAGATGAATGTGGTCTGAATCGTAAAAATATTCATGATCATCGAGTTCACTGTTGTTTGTATTTCATATCACCATATGGTCATGGGTAAGTAAATGAACTTTATTTGTTAAGATGTAGTTTGATAATTTAATTAGTCCATCAGATTAATGCCATATTGATTGTATATATATATATATATATATATATATATATATATATATATATATATATTCAAATCAATACGATATATATATTGAATTCGTACCAGTTACCGTTTTTCTAACCTGACATGTTCATGTAATCTAGTTGTTTTCATTAACAAAATGTAGATTCACTGTTCTGTAGTATCATTTTTTATTGTATTTCTGTACATTGGTAGGATTGAATGATTGTTTTTGTTACATAATCAAAGCTTGAGGTTATATTAGGTGAATACTTAAGTCATTTGCATATGTAAAATCATGTGATAAACACTAACTTACTTGCTAACATTCTTGTTTAAGTTTATATATACGTAGCTATCATTTAGTTAAAAAAATTAATTGATTTAGTATTAATGCAGTGTAGAAATGTTGTCGAATTGCCGATTCATTAAGACTAGTCCTAGTTATATTTCTAAGCTAAAATCATTCTTCTGAGTTCATTTTCTTTTATTAGTCCGTAATAGGTTGATAGAAATGCTTGTATGGTGTTGAAGTTATTCATAACTTTTCAAGTAAACCAAACTATGGTATAGAAATTCTCATCTTAATGTATTTTTTTTAAGGAATTTATTGTTAACCTGTTGAGCTATGAGGAATATTTGTTGTGAGCACAAATGAAATTAATAACTGTCATATATAAACAGTGACATATTATGATTTTATTATAACAAGAGGAGATTTACAAGAGAAAAATCTAGCTATTTTTAATTAATATAAACGAAGTTATTTTGAAATTGTAACCGATTATTTCAAGGCTATAATCATAACTGTGTATTAATTATTTGATAAATTTGTTGAGAAATATTTGAGACACTATCGTATGCTGATTATTATTTAACATGGATTGGAAATTAATCAGAAATTGAATTATTTCAGTGTTTATAACTAGAGTAAATTTCTTCTCTAAACAAATAACTAGAGAGAAGGAGAGAATAGTCAAAGGTTTTGAGAAATCTCTTCCTTCTTTGTGTATGTTAACGACTAATGGTTTAAAGTATAATTTAAAACTCAAAATTTAGAGAATGGATCTTCTTTTTGTAGGGATTCATTATCAAACTGTACAACCGTGTATGGAAATTTGAGGATTACTTCCGTAAAGAAATATAAAACAATAAAATAAACATGGGGATGCAATAGTAGGATTTTAATACTAAATTATATAATGCAAATAGTAATACAATTTTGAGTAACTTCTACACAATGTGCACAAATTAAGTATAATTGTTTATCTTCTTCGGTTTTACATGAAAGCTAGAAAAATTATCACAAACTTGTACACCCAATTTCAGTTAATTTACTTAACGTTAAAGTCGTTCCCTATCCAAGTGTTTAAGACAAGATAGCCAATTAAGTATCCAGGCCATTAAAGGACTTATCATTATCTTTTAAATATTGTTGTTACTTTTTTGACCTATTTTAATTCCCGGATATTGATGTGAGAAATTTTTTATTTTAATTCAATTTAGTTTACGCCAAATAGATGTTGAATTTATGCGCCGTCTTCAACATAAAGTCAACATAGTCCCTGTAATAGCTAAAACTGATGCATTGACTGCTAATGAATTACGTGCATTTAAAGAACGCATAATGGCAGATTTTGATCGTTATAAAATTGATATTTATCGTTTACCTGAATGTGACAGTGATGAAGAGGATGAAATCAAACGTTTAGATAAAGAAATCAAAGTTAGTTAAACATTCATTCATTTATGTGGTAGTTCTGTCATAGTAATCGGTGTTTGAGGCGATAACGTGTCCTGAAAAAAATACTAATTTGTGTATAAATGACTGTAATTGTTAAGGGACTTTTTTAGCCACATAGTCTTCAACTGAAAAGCCATTGTTGCTTCTTTCTAGTTTGCGACCCTTCAATACTATGACAGCTTAAATCTCAATTGACCCGTGTATTTCACCGATTCTGCAGTTGATAATCGATTCCTGAATGAATGTCATAAAATTACTTGAATAAACCCTAGATTCTACGTTACTTATGATTGACCTATAAACTACAAATATATAATCACTATTCGATTCTAACGTTTAATCTCTTTATGATTGATAATAATTCGTGTAAATTTCGAAAAATTTTGTATTTTATAGGGAAGTTATATTTATATTCACACATTTGTTTGCATAAAATATTACAGATTCAAAATTACTCAAGCTTGCTTGAAACGTTACAAGGTCCTTAAAATCAGTATTAGAAAATAAAGTGTTTATATTTATCCAAGCTTATCTATTTGTTAATCATCTCATAACGTTAGCTCTATTGGTGTCTTCATGAATCATATGTCTAACAACTTCAAAGTATCAGTGCTATACAAAAATTTTCATATTCCATTTGTAGATGAGAAATACATTTACTATAAATTTATTGTCTCTTTTAAGAGTAATTAGGCTAAAATAACATATGAAAATTATGATAAGAAGACCAGACAAGTCTGTTGGACGAAACTTCGTAATTGCTTAAATACAAATCGACGAGATTATTTCAAATATAATTTCCACATATCATGGCTTCTCGATACTCAGCGCCCAATTTTTGTCAAAATATTCGTTCTAACATTGGCGAATATTCGTATAAAATAACTTCTATTGTTCCGATGTGAAGTTGCATTTCTCAAGTTCTAAATAGTTATCTTTTTTTCGAATAGGCTGTTCTACCTTTCGCTGTCGTCGGCAGTAATTGTGTTATCGATTTAGATGGTAGTCGTCGGGCTCGTGGTAGACAATATCCTTGGGGGTCAGTTGAAGTGGAGAATAGTCGTCATTGCGATTTTACAAAGCTGCGTATATTTCTGCTAAAGTAAGCATACTATTGTCATTTGTATTCCATAGTCAGTTCACTTCCTATACTTTAAAATTTATTGAGACTGATTTCTTAGACGTATTATTTACTATGAATATGACACACTACTATCGGTACCAAGAAAAGTTTCCAACACAGCGTTGCTGAACCGGATGAAAGACTCAATCGACGCCCAACTTCGAGATCAACAGGCTGGATTTCGCAAGGATCGGTCATGCACAGACCAAATCGCGACACTACGGATCATCGTTTAACAATCGGTTGAGTGGAACTCGTCATTATACATCAGCTTCCTTGATTATGAGGAAGCATTTGACAGTGTGGATAGGAGAACACTGGAAACTTCTTCGACACTATAGTGTGAGTATTTGAGAAGATCGTCAACATCATCCGGAATTCATACGAAGGACTACCCTGCAAAGTGGTGCATGGAGGACAACCCACAGACGCATTCCAAGTGAGGACCGGAGTCAGACAAAGCTGCTTACTCTCCTCCTTCCTCTTTCTTCTAGTGGTCGACTGGATTATGAAGATCTCGACATCTGAGGGAAAGCACAGAATACAATGAACAGGTTGGATGCAACTACACGATTTGGATTTCGCAGATGAACTGGCTCTTCTATGCCATACACACGAATAAGTGCAGATGAAGACAGCCAGTGTAACACCAGCTTCTACATCAGTAGGCCTCAACGTACACAAGAGAAAAAAGCAATATCCGGAAATACACAACACGGAGAACACCAACCCAATCACACTTGATGGAAGATGTGGAATCTTTCACGCACCTGGTCAGCACCATCGGCGAACGTGGAGGATCCGATGCAGACGAGAAAGTGAGGATTGATAAAGCAAGGACGGCATTCCTACAATTGAAGAACATATAGAACTCAAAACAACTGTCAGCTAATATCAATGTAATGATCTTTAATACGAACGTCAAGACAGTTTTGCTATACGGAACTGGAAGTTTGAGAACAACTTCAACGATCACCAAAATGATACAAGTATTTATAAATAGTTGTCTATTCGGGATACTCAATGTCCGTTGACCGGATCGGATACCATGAGCAGCAGCCTACTGTGGTGTGGAGGAGGACGAACCAGCTTCAATCTGAAGAGGAAATTATGAAACGAAGCGAGAGGTGGATAGTACATACACTGAGGAAATCACCAAACTGCATCACAAGGTAAGCCCTAACTTGGAATCCTGAAGGAAAAGAGAAACTAGGGAGACCAAGGAACACATTGAGTCGAGCATTGGAAGTAGACATCAAAGGGATGAATAGTAACTGGAAAGGATTGCTCAGGACAGAGTTGGATGGAGAGTGTTGGTGGGCGACCCATGCTCCTCCACGAGGGATTAAAAGCGTAAAGTAAGTAAGTAAGTAAGTAAGGTTTATTGTCAAAAGTATGTATACTTAATATAAATAAAGGCAATTATGTTAACCTATCGCAACATAGGATCTGGCATGAATGACTAAGGATTCACATCAAACCTCGAAGTATTACGATTAGAAGAATGGTAGTGGTATCCAGCTCAGAGAACAAGACTCCATCAAAATCACTCATGTGAGCTACAAATCTTCTGCACCATCTCAAAAAGGTATTATTTGGTGTTTACTCTAACGGAAACAGTAAAAAGGGAATAACGGGAAATTGAAAAGTACGTAATAAAAATGTATTTAAGATCTGGAAGATAATAAATGACCAATTACTGTCGACTTGGGACCGCTTCATCCATAAATTGATCTTATTGGTCAAATTTACTAAACATTCGAAATTATAGCACAGGCGTACAAATGATATTTGGTTCGGTAACGGAACTGAAAAACAATGAGTCCATTATAAGTTGTTAAGTTGATTATATTTTCTTTTTTTAGTTATTATTACCATTTAGTCAGATTTTTTTCACAAGCAGAGAAATTATTAGTGTTTCATCAAAAAATTTGCTTTTTTTTGACGACAGACTTTGTTTTATTCCTTGTTATTCTCTTTAAAATTAATTTTAGGACACATATGCAGGATTTGAAAGATATGACATTGGATGTGCATTATGAAAATTATAGAGCAAAATACATTACTGAACGGATGTCTAAGCGTCAAAGCGATCGTCGTGAAGGTGTTGGTACTGGAGCGTATGTTATTCACTTTGAAAACAATTTACTTATTCTATTTATTCATATTCTTTCATTCAGTCATCCATAAAGTTTGAGTTGTATAACAAAAATTCCTAACTGGAATAATACATTTTCAACATTTCTAGCCGGGTTAAAGACAAAGTATTTGATTTCCACTCACGATATATACACTTAACAGTATCCGTACTGTTTTTCTCATATGTTTGTTGCTTTTTCACATTTCTTTACTAATAGTCGGAAGTCTTTCTGGACATTTATCATCAACTTCCAATTACCTCTTTCTATCAGACATATTGATGGTACTTATTGTATCGTTGTAATGGGCATCTTTCGTGGTATGGAAGTAAAATTTCATAGTAAATATTTTTACTTCCCATATTCAATTATAGGCTCATTTAGTGGATTGGGGTTTGTTTGTTGGTTATTCAAATTGTTATTGTCGTATATCTTTCCGATTTTAAGTATGTATGGCTTGTATTTGTATTATTTAAAACTCTTGGTATTATACTTTAGTTCCGCCTGATCAAAATTTTGCTGATCTCTTCAATCTGTGGACTTTTTTGGATATGAATGTCTTACTTTGACAGCATGATGTATTCCTTTTCTCAAAATCATAGCCACTTACCATGAACTAAGAAGCCTACAGTTACATTTTATAAATCTGTGTATATTGTCGATTTTCACATTGTGATAAATTTCCTCCGAAAATTGCTTTAAAGTTCAATATTTAAATATATACAATCTGTACTAATGAACAAGTTTACCCCATCTAACTTTATCACAGAAAAATTTTAAAAAATACAAGATTTATCTCATACCAGTAAATTATAAGTGATTTCTATTGGGTTCAGGTTGCTTTTTTATGATGCCACACTTACAGTTTTACACAGTTCAGGGTTGCGGTACTTGTTTTGTCAATGTCAGCCTTTTGCTTCTTATGAATTGTCATCATTCTCTTATCATTTTAATTTGCTTAGTGTGTTAAAGAGAATTTGATGGGTTCTTTTAAGGATAGTGAACTTCATTTTGTGGTGCGATCTGTATGTTGGCTTCATTTCTTCGCTTTGGATGTTGTCAATTATCTGTATGAATGTTTTTTGATGAATTTCAGTCTTAGAATTTTTTTCTCTTACTTTTCGAACCTACTCATTGTTGAGTAGTATAGCAATTGTTATAGTTGATAGGATATAGTTGTGTTGATTTTCATGTTTGAATCGTGGTCAGTGGCCTATGCTCTTCCATGAGAGGTAACAGGCGTAAGTAGGTTAGGTCTTAATCTTTCATTTGTGAATTATGCATCGTATAATTGATACCTGGTCATGTTTTTATATAAGTAAATCCTTTAAGATATATCTTGGATTTAACTCAAGGTGTTTATGGAACAAACAAGTAAGCAACTTTGAATCTCTAAGACTAGTACTTTCTGGATAGGAATAAATATTTGCAAAACTCTCCATTCCGCTTGACGATCTGCTTCACTCTTAGAGAAACAATCGGAATTATCGAATATATATAGAATACTGAGCGAATCTTTGAAGTTATTTTAATTTAAATCACTGAGATTTTGCAGATAAAACTCATCTTTAATGTCCTCTATGAGTTTGACGTCTAAATTTTATGGTCCGATTCGTTTAAATTTATTTGAAGGTCCCCATAAAATTGTATGGTATTTTGAACATTTATTTTTTTATTTATATAGTTTCAATGGTAATCATGTAATATACTCCCTTTTGTCTACTTGTTGATAGATTGGCAAGATTAGAAAAAGAAGGTGGAACTGGCTTTGAGGCTATTGTTGATCAAGATAGTTTACTGAAACAGAAAGAGGAAGAGGTTAGTCAAGTTATAAACTTTTGTTGTGGTAACATATGTTGTATTTGGACATGTTATTTCCCAGTCTTTAAATTATAAGATTATCACCTTTAAAAAAATGAAACATAATATTGTGATTCCTCACGTTTACAGTTTCTATAATATGCAATCTGAATTATTTCATACAAATATTTCCGAATTTTGTGAGCTTATAGTCTTGCTAATCCACAGTATTTTTGTCATACATCATTATTCATTTATTTACGTCCGTCTTTATTCAAAGAAACAACTTTTAAAATATCTTTACCGTACAGTATTCTGAATGTATGTGGCATTAATTATCGTGGAGTTTGTGTGCTAAATTGTTGATGTTGCTTTTTTAGTATCAACTTTATCATTCGTTTAATATCTACATCAGCTTGAATTACTCAGTGTTCCTAAAGAGTTTTTACTCTAGTTCATATAAGTTATCAGTTTATGATCATGAACTTTACTACATTCCAAAATATAGGCACATAATTACCTGTCGTATCTTGAGTAACTTCTGTTGTGTGACGGTTACAAGTACTATCTCAATCAAAGTGAGCCAAATGGGACTGAAATGTATAGCCGAATCATTGTAATATAAATGGCAAAAATTTTAAATTATTTTTAATTTATTAGTGCTAACTCGTACAGTGACGTGGCTGTCCTTGAATTCCTAATCACCAGTGACGACTGACAGGAGTTGATTGGAAGAAAGCTAATCGGAACTAAACTGAAGTGGTGAAGTCAATTCTCATAGTCATTGAATGTCTGACGCTTGTTGATAGTAACTGACTACCTGGTTGGAGTGAGAGCGATAATCGCAACTAATGATTAGGAACGTTGGATGAAGACCTAAAATCGACCACAATATTTGAGTCCAATTTGTTCCTTATCTTCAACCAGACCCCTAGTTACAGTATTATTTCATAGTTTGTATTTTTGTACATGATTTTTTACGGTTATTAGTCTTATTACCCTACTACCAACGTTCCGACTCCGTACATACATTTTGTTTCATTTGATCTCGTGCTGAAGTTGTCTGTTTCAGATTATACACAACGTAAATCCTTTAGGGATTTCAATGGTTTATCTTTCTAGGTAGATCATATTCATGCAAACTGTTCAAAATTGACGATTGAAATGACTATTCATTCTAAAAGTTACTCAGATTTGGTTAACAAATTTCGTTTATGCTCTTTTACTATACATACTATTCAATGAACTTGATAACATCTTAGGTAATTGTGGTGTAATGTGTTTTCTTGAATGGTAAAATTAAATTTTTGTGTCACACGACTTATTCGAAATCGAACACTTTTGTATCTTTAAGACGTTATCTTCATCAGTAAAAACATCCTTCGAATGTATTATCAATAATCATATTAGCCTTAAAATTGTTTAAGTTCACGGGTATTTTCTAAATGTTGTCTAATATAAGACGATGTTTATCCAATGTTCTGTTAAATTAATTGATTATAACTTATATAACGTAGTTAAAATGATTAGATTTGCTTGTTGCCTTTAACTCATTAGTATATACTGAATTTTATGTAGAGTTAGTTTTATATATTTATGTCATACATTCCATTGTAATTAATATCTTGATTGTTGATTAAATTTCTCATCGAGTTTCATTCATTTGCAAAATACATCAGTTTCCAATAAAAAGAACATAGTGTAACCAGTTTCAGTTAATAATCAATCTCAAATAATATTCAACGTCTTGGAATGAATATGTATCGATCTAAATTGACGCTCATCCCACACTGGGGAACAGTTAGAAAATTAAAACCTATGGTATTTGTTGCTTTTCAAGAACTTTGAATATTCACTACAATTCTTATAGTGCGAAGCATGTGCAGGTTGAATAGTAGAAAGTTGAATAATATTACATAACAGCTTCGTCGATTATATCATAATAGTTACTCATTTTTTTATCAGTATTAATCAAACCTTTCGAAAACTTTATTATTGTTGGCATACTGATAAATGTTTTTCGGTATATATATTTTTTCTCTAGCTTCAAAGAATGCAACAACTAATGAGTAAAATGCAAGAACAGTTAAAACGTAATACCAATGTTGTACCGAACGCATCAGTCGGTTTAAATAATGGTACAAGTAATACTCAATCTTCTCCTATTCCTGCAACTGGTCAACAAGCTTCTTGAATACAAAAAAGTATATAGGTTGTCTAGGATTCAAAATCCCGTTATCACATTTATTTATATCTTATTATTTTGCTTAAAATTCAGTCGATTAGGTCGGAATATAGTCAATATGATGTGCTAACAATAAATATTTTGTCGTTTATACTAATAAAACTATTACTTCTTTCTTTCTTTTCTTGAATCCATACAACATAGTCTAATTAAATTGTTTGTGTCTACTTATGTTTATTCAATTACCGGTTCCATATAATTTTTTTTTAATAAAAAAAACTAGACAGAAATTTTCTTTCTTCTTTTTATTGAACTTATTACATTACATATTCTCAGTTTTTAATTATGTTCACATCTCATTAAGAATAAAGATAGAACAAACTGTTAATTTTCAATTCTACTGATGGTATATTGTTTTTTTTAAATTATCTCTCTCAATTTTTGCAGTTCATCATAAAGTTCTCCCTTCTTTTCTGTTTTTTATTAATCATGAATGTGCATTTTATCTTACCTTTATTATATATTGAATCAAATCCATTGATTACTTCCTTTTCATTTTATTCATCTAGTCTAGCTTATTCGTGTTTTTTTTACTTTGTGGTTACAACAATTCCTGTTACACTTTGTTAACCAAAAATTATATTATTTGATGTGAAAAACAAACTTTATATTTTTTATCTGTGTACGCATTTTCATACTTTTTGTTAAATTTTGTCTTTTCACTTCATTTTATTATTTCGTCTAATTACTTAAAAAAAATGAGGTGAATAAACCATGCCTATCACAATGTCAAATAATTGTCAATGTCCTAAAAATACTTACTGTGCTCAGTTATTTTTTTTGCTGTGTCAAGTGGGTTATTTTTTCCTCTTTATGTACTTAGCTGTTTAGAATTGACGATTTTGTGTAAAATATTTATGTATGCGTAATTAGTATCTCCCACTTTACTTAATACCTAATCAGGAAAGTTTTGAGAAGCTAATTTTTGGTCATTTGTAAGATATTACTGTTTCACCATTTCAAATGTCAACCAAGATTAAAAGTTTCTGGATAATGAGCTCAGCTTATATAATCTCGGTTTTACGAACATCAATTTCTACAGTTTCCGCTAATTCAAAAGAAATGTCTACAAATGTAATTACGGTCACGAAAGATCCTCGGAAACTTAATAGATTATCGTCTCATATTAAAAATACTTCAGAAATAATCCCTAGGATCTTGAGATTAGTATTTCTAACAAACCAACTCAAGAACCTTATTCCAATCTCTTTAGACTAAAAGACATACAGGCGAAACATGACGTCGTACTGCTGACTGTAGAGAGGTGTGACAGTAGTACGGTGTTTTCCTCGGGCGACCAGCATCTGCAGCGATGCTGCCTTCCCACAAGGAGGGGTGGGGTTAGATGCTGCCTTCTCACAGGCAAGGGTTAGAAAAGGTCGACCCTGAAAATGCCACACCCCACGGATTTCCATCTCCAAGTTGGTCACGAACAATCATTCCTACACCTCCTAATAACTCTCTTATCTCCACAACTAACCCTTCTCACGTCCCTTCATTACCTAGCGCCACTAATGCAAACGATTTAAGTGCGTGGAATGTTATTCCCGGTCTCCTGAAACCACGCTCTAAACTACACGTAGGAGCTTTTAACGTACGAACACTTTGCCAAATAGGACAGCAGGCTTCCTTAGCTAAGACTTTGGAATCTCGCGCCATCGATGTGTGCTGCGTCTCCGAAACGCACATACAGGACCCGAGTAGCGTCATTCATCTGACCTCACCATATCAAAATAAAGAACCAACTTGATTCACACTTCATGTATCTAGTAGACTTGATCCTGCTTCCCGTGGCCTCCTTTGTGTAGGTGTAGCATTGAGTCCTAGGACAGAACTAGCTGTCTCAGACTGGATCCCAATAGACAGTCGTTTGTGCACTGTCCGACTGATCGGAACAGTAAGGACTCGGAAAGATAGGGACACTCGTCGTTGCCTCTTCGTCATCTCTGCCTATTCTCCCACTGACTGCAGCTCAGATAATGTAAAAGATGAGTTTTACAGAAAGCTCTCCGACCTTCTCCGAAAAGTTAGGTGCTCTGATTTAGTAATAGTGGCTGGTGACTTTCATGCTCAAGCAGGTAAACTAAACGAAAGGGAAAGACACCTGTGTGGATCTTATGGTGTCTTAGCTCAAAGAATAGATAATGGCGACCGTTTGTTGCAGCTATGTTCAGATAACCGCCTGTTTCTAGCGAACACTAACTTTAAGCATAGGCAAAAACATATTTTGACATGGTGACCCCCTAATTCGTCTCAACGTTGGACCCAACTAGATCTCATCGCTATCAGCCACCGATGGGGGGGGGTTCGATAGAAGATTGTCGCTTGTTCTGGAGCACATATTCTTGTGCGAGCATGTATTTGTCTACGTCTTATTGGACGTAGGAAAGACGCCTAAAGGAAACCTCTTAGGGTCCTACTTAATGATAGTCAAGCTAAGAGTATATTTCAGGAACAACTAGGAAAACAGTTAGGCAGCCATGTATGTGATGCCCACCCCGATGCAGCATGGAATGATATCCGAAAATCTGTGGAAACAACAGTGATATCTGCTAGTAAGGTAAACCGTAAGGTTAGGGAGGAACACTGGATCTCAGCAGCATCTACCGCACTGATAGATACTCGAAAACTCATCCCATCTGAACTTTACGAAAAGCGGAGTCAGCTTAAGCGCAGGCTGGTAAGAAGCCTACGCAACGGTCGCGAACAGTGGTGAGTAGCAAAAGCAAGAAAGGCAGCGACAATAAGTAACAGCAGATAATTATTCAGACTTGTCAAGGAAACCGACATTAGGAGCCTGACTGTTAGCGAAACAATCTCAGAGAAAGATGGACATATTATTCATTCTCAATCCACGAGATTGGATCGGTGGGCAGAACACATTAAGGATCAGTTCAACTGGCCTTCAGCCACACTTCGGTTTCCCACGATCTCCAGTCAACCTGAATGGCAAGTTAATGTAGATCCTCCGACTCTTTACGAAGTTGAAAAAGCCATAGGATATCTGAAGCGAGGGAGAGCAGCGGGCTCTGACAGGTTTACTCCTGAGTTTCAAGGATGGCGGTCCAGTATCAGCAGGGAGATTGTCTGAGGTCTTAGGTAGAATCTGTGAACTGGTGTGTGACGAAATTTCAGCACGGATATAGAAGACTCGCCTAGCTTTCGCCAAATTGCGTCATTTATGGCGTAGACGAGATATCCGTCTATCAACCAAGGACGTGTTTACTGCGCAGCAGTTCGTCCCATCCTACTTTATAGCAGTGAAACATGGCCGCTAATAGTAGAGGATATCCGTAGGTTACTAGTATTCGATCATAAGTGTCTTCGAAATATTGCTCGTATATCCTAGGACCATCGAGTAAGTAACACAGTTGTTAGGAAACGGGTACTAGGTAAGGATGGTAAATCAATTGATCAAGTAGTGAAACTTCATTAGTTGAGATGGGTGGGACATGTGTTACGTATGCCCAACAACCGACTGCCTCGACATGCGATATTCGTTGGTATAGGAGATGGGAAGAAAGGTAGGGGCGGTCAGACCAAAACGTGGCATAAATCCATGAAGTCACTGACAAGTGAACTGAGTCATGTTGGTAGGTGTAGACTACCTGGTTGGGGACCACGAGATGATAGCAACCGATGGTTAGAGACCCTGAATGACATGTCTCAAAATGGTTTGCGATGGCGCAGGTGAATCCACTCGTTGCGTTCTCCCAAATTTTAATCTCCTGATTCCTCCATGTCTTTTTTTCTCCATCCAAATTTATTTCACTGGATTATACTCCTTGAATAACATCTCCAAGCCCTAATGTTTCCGATTACTACTTATACTCTTACAACCTCTACCACTACGGGATTTGAATGGACAATTGTATTTGTGTGCTAATGTGGTGTGGCAACTTGAACTGATGTACGTACGTACGAAGTTTTAAGTTGTTACCTGACTGACTGACACAGTCCACACGATATAAAGTTACTTGGACCAGGGGCCAAACTACAACTTGATCGATAAAATACGATCAACGTTAAACCGGCATCTGGCATCTTTTACTACCCAGTGATTAGTTAGTTGCCAACTATTGTTAACTAAGGTGTGCAGGAATACCTTCTCAGTGCACTTATTTTTTCTCTCACAATAACGTGCAGTCAAAAAAGCAGTGAAAGGTACATATCAGTAATACATTTTGGTAATATTTACCAAGTAAATAGGCGTGGTGATTTTTATTAAGGTTTTGTGAGTAGACCGTCAAGAAATTCCCTCACTTTTCTGTTACCGTATAAAAATTATAAAAAAACATTACTAACTCAAAGATACAAACATTTTTGAACTTTGTACTTATTGATTTTTTCAATTTTGAGGTAGATATGTGATTGAAATAAAGAAAAATAAAAACAAATCGTAAGTATAACATGGAGCGATAGAAGGAGAAACAAGCAACAAATAAAAGTTAATTTACTAATTTACGTTCGTAAAACTCAAAAGGTAATCAGTATTTAATTGCATGTAAATAAAAAGGCGGACAAAGTATAGATTAAAAATTGTCGAGATAAAAATAAATTACAGGACAAATCAACATAATCTGGTCAAGAAGTTCCTAGTTCTTTCATAATTGACTAACAACAGTAATCGATAGCTCATAAATATACGTGAATAAAAACAATTACGACCCTATACATTTTGTACCTTAGGCTGTTGTGTTGTTGTTTGCTGACGATCCGGTTCATGAGTCAAATGATTTTGTTCTTTTAATTGTGCTTCACTAGCTAATCTTCTTAATTCCTCTTCATTTGTTTCAAACATATCCTCTTCATCTTGAGCAGTCTGAAAAAAGAAACAGTACACTGTTAAACAGTTATATGATTTATATGTTGTTATATAGGTAATATGTTTTACAAAGGAAATAAAGGGAAATCATACTTCCTAAGTCATGGAGGTTAACAAACGTGATTTGAATCAAATATAGACAAGAAATCAATTGCATATTATTCAAAACCTTAGATGGTTTTGTGATTTGTATACAAAGAATCAGAAGTCAAATGATTTTAGTATGTTGAACAAATGAATTTGGGTATGATGTACTAAGGGTATGCAGTTTGAACAAAAAATATAAATAATTGGTTATGTTGTCTTCATAAGATTGCTGATATTTGGTGTAATTATTAAGTGAACAACTGTCAGATTCAATATATAGTTTAGAAATAACAAAATCAATCGATTAGGATAGTGACCATCATTACGGTGGTCAGATCGTATGTTATGCGAATCTAGTAAGCGAGCGACCATAAGGGGTGTATTGCTAATCGTAGACCGATGTTAGCATGATCAGTTGTTTGAAAAACAAAGGAAATAAATTTATCAGTACGGGAATTTGTGGAGATTGTAGTATTTTAGCTGGAATTCTTCGATCAACAACTGTTGTAATTCAGATGCTTTTGCAATTTTTTAGATTTCATTTTAACAGTTGAAATCAGAGATCGATTAAAGCAAGACCACCATTGGGAACCCGGAAGCACCGGATGGAAGATTCTCCCTAGTATGGGGCCCCTCAGCAACACGTATCCATTATCCAGTGCATAGGACTCGAACCTAAGGCCTTCGGTCTTGCGCGTGTACACTTAACTTCTAAAGCATTGAGCCGGCATCCAACAATGGTAATATTTAACTTCAATCCATGCGGTGCTTTCAGGTTTTCAATGATGGTCTAGTTTATATCGACTTGTGAATTCAACTGTTAACATAAATTTAGTCTAGCAAATTGTAGAAAAAAATGCAGAAGCACGTGATATGCAGAGCCAACCAGAGGTAGGACAAAATCAATCGATGGCAATCAGAAGTGGCACAAGGATCAAGTGTATTTCACTGGGGTCAACGGGTCAATTTTCTAAGGATAGAATGGTATATATATATATATATATATATATATATATATATGAGTATTTGTGCATTTTGTTAAGTAGTCTAATACACTTTCTCGCTTAAGTAGTCAGTTGGGGGGGGGGGCTTAGCGCATAACACATCGTGTATCAGTATCAGATTTCGAACACCGCACGTCACAACAGCACTTGAATTACAACTATTGTTGAACAAACAAGAATTACATTGTAATAAAATGATAAGCTAAAAATACGGATTACAATACTTTATGACATCTTAACAAATACGTGATTTATCAAGGGTAAAATAGTTAATACACAAGAATATCTTTATAGCCAACATTAAACCATAAATTCGACAACCCATTAAACATAGATTTAACAAGAACATGTGATTTACACTTTCGTGTTTTGCGTGTAGTTTTATCGAGTTACATTCATTTGTGTCAAATATATGATCAACTATGCATTCCAAAAACTCGTACGTTGGTTCTAATTATTTGTTTCGTTGTACAGGAGGTAATTCGGCTAATTTTTACGCAAACATTGTGTTGTCCATTCGGAAGTTCGAAGTTTTTTTACCAGTTTATATATTCTTTCCATTTATAAACGATTCAGAGTTTTTATGAACATATTACTGATGGAAATCTAAGTTTATGATAAGCATCTCTCTGGCTGTTGACAAATTATTCCACTTATGATAAACACGATATATTGGCCTATTAACCAACGGACGAGGAAATGGTGTAGCAATTCACATAGTATTACTCTGAGGATGTGAAACATGGTTTATGAAAATCAGGAACAACCGTAGGTTGCTAGTATTCAATCAAACGTCTTCGAAACACTCTTTGCGTATTTTAAAATAATTGAATGTGTAACACCGATGTAAGGTTAAGGATAAGAAAGAAAAGATTAACGGTGAAATTATAGATCTTCATCGACTGAGGTCGTTAGGGGATTCGTTAAATGTATCCAACCACCACCTATCTCATCAAGGATACAAAGATCTAGCTTGTGTTTAGTCAACTTGTAACGTCGATGGAATATATGAGATGTCTTTCCCCTTATAAAAGGGTAAGTGTACAATGCAACACCACGATCTTCGACGACATATTGCTATGAAGCATAGTGCTTGAAGGCTAAGAAAATGCATAAGCTAACATTGTTTGATCAAAACCTCTTTAAAAAGTTACTAATCTATGAGGAAAGCACTGATAGAGTAGTCATGTAGTTAGGTACAGTGTACTAGGTAAAGATGAGGTATATGGGACATGTGTTATGTATGTCCAACAACTACCTAATGCAATGTATATTGGTAACTGAAGTGGTAGTAGGTTGAAAAAAAGCTAAGACAGACAGATCATAGTATAGTAATGTTTTACAAATTCAATGACAAGACGTTTTTTCATCCGCATTGAGAAGTGCAAATTTCATGGTTGGGATCCGTGGGGCAATCCCAATACTTAGTTCGAAATGTTGGGTGGCAAAGCCTCAGATCAACAGCAGTTGATCAGTTGCAATCACTTTTCTCATTTTAAATATCGATTTAAGGGTCATTCATAAATCTCCATTCTTTAATCTCATCAGGTGATCAAACTTTTTGATTTCTGCGTGCACACGAATCGTAAACATCTTAGTACTATCAGATGAACACTTTACAAATAGTGCTACGTATTTAGTTTTATAAATGTAGCGAAGCGTCAACTAGAATCAGTCTTTGTACGTTTAGTCGAACTATAAATCACATCGTTATGACTCCTGTTATTTTAGACTCATTCAAAATTATTGCACACAATTTTACGTAAAGCTTACTGTCATACAAAAAAGACAAGGCGAAAAATATGTTTAAAAGCATTGGTATCTGCGAACACATGAAGTAGTAAAGAGAAATTTATTACAATTAATATTAAGAACTTAGATGAATATAATACAAAAATACTAACCATCCAATCACTGTCATATGATGGATAAGGTTGATTAACACCTCTTAGAAATTCATCACGGGAAACAAAGTAATCACCATCTGTATCGAATCGTTCCATAAATTTTTGTCGCATTCTACTTTGATCATACTTTTCTTCCCATGGGTCGTAATCTGGATCTTCAGGATTATAAACCTTTTCAAGCTAAAAATACGACACTAAATTTACTCATTTGTGCTTTTATGTAATGCTGATTAATATTGAAATAAATTATCTTACGAAAAAAACAAATGTTACTTAGTTAGAAGAAATTTAGTTAAACATTTTGAGAACAAGTTACTTTTGAATAGGATGTATCCATCTGCTTGTGATGACTGGATTACAAGAATTTAATTAAAATTAACTGCACTAAAATGAGATTACTAAGACGTTCCCAAAGAGATCTTAGCCCTTCTGATAAAATCTGACTATTCTTGAGAACACAAGAACAAATTCATGATGCGCGTCTCGTCCTGTTTGGGACTCATCAACTGGACGTACGTGCATCCCAGAGAGAATTAATGGATTCTCTATTTTCAATGGTTAGACGAATATAAACGGGGGGCACAACTGATGATGAATTGGCTAAAGTTTAACGAAAACCTATAGAGAATGAGCTTTCCAAAAAGTTAATAACCAGTAACCCGAAATTAAAACATTCACCGAAAAGTACATCCACATTGCGAGAGATAACTTTGTTCATGGACACCGAATGAAAAAGTAATATATATATATATATATATATATATATATATATATATATATATATATCAACAGAACTCCAAAAATCCTACTGTAACCTTTCTGAAGACCCTTCGTCCGTCAGGGTTCTAAACTGTCTTCTCTAGTAGCGACATATTTGGGAATGTGTCAAGCATAATCTTTTTCTTTCACTTAAATTAATGTACATCTGTAAGTATACCCACAGGTCATATTAATCACATAAAATGAACATTTTCCAAACACATACTCAAGCATTACCCTGGATGACTAGTTCAATGTCAATTAACTGCTTGATACTTGAAAAACCTGGTGACCTTTGGTAGTGTATCACCTACGGAATTGTTAAATCGAAAAAGTTGCTCATGCCGACAATTGAATATTATTTTTCTTTTACTAGATAGTAACTGAGTCAAGCATATTAAGAGAGAAATGAAACTACTGTGAAGAATCAGAAGAGGGATAACAATACAACCAAAGAACAAGAAAATAAGAACAGTAGGCACTACAGGAAATAGATTAATAACACAATCAAGATAGATGCATACCATTGCTGACGAGGAATACAAAAGCAAACTATGTAGCCGAACTGGCCTTGACTTCTGTTCCCAGGCGTGCCTGAGACCGTCTCAAGCCACACAGTCGCGTGGTGATTAGGATCCCAACTCAAGAAGTTGGGATAGTACGGAGAATCTGATTTCTTAAAAATATTCCTACACGACTACGAGTTTATAGTTGCTTCAAGAGAAAACATACTGTCTTTAAATATCAAGGGCATTTTTAATAAAGTGAGAGGGTGAAGGCTGACCCCAGTGGTGTACACGAAGAGAGTATTTAGAGGAATTAGAAAATCTTTATTTCAAACAACAGTGGAAACATGCCATGGGGAATGAATCGCGGGTAAAGCTATTGTGGTGACTGGTGACCATGATACTGATATAACCCCACTGTCATGTAGATAAGCCCTTCAGACCAAAGACTAGGAGGTCATTTCCTAAGAAAACTCCGTGTTTTGATTTAAAAGGGCTTAGGAGTATCCAAACTTTCAAGCAATTTTCGACAACTATCAATGAAGAAAACAGATGCTTTCAAGTCCATGAAAAAGGCAGGACTGAACTCCGCATTTTAGTATCAACGAAACTGAAACTGACTCAAGTAAAGTACTGGCTAATCATAGTTGCTTAGTTTTAAGGATGAAATATTTCATTTTGAGCTCAGACGCTTGTTTGATGTGAAATTAAACTACGAACAATAGGACAGTCACTAAGTAATGTTTTCGGTTTTTAGAATATAATATCAAATAATAAATGATCATGTCCAGTTAATGGGGTATATCCTCACAGTTCAAAAAGAATATATTCATCTTGGTAAACATTTCACAAACAGACTAGATAGTAAGACAAGTGTATAGTAAAGGGAAAGTCAATCAGAATTGAAAGACATACTGTTAGGTTTCTGGGTGAAATTCGAAATGAATGACTTTTATCATGTAACGCATAAAATGACAAGTAGAAAGACCGTTGTCTTATGTTCAAAACATTGAAATTGATAGTGAATAATGAGGTTTTTTCATAAGAGAGAAGAAATGACAGTGTTAAATGTACAAAACTTTCGATTCTCTCAATGCAAAATGTATGTAACACGCAAATAAACTTTGCTCCTAAACCCCAATCAGGAACAATCTGAGTGCCGGTCCGATTGGTGCATACTTTGAAGAAACAAGATCTTCACTAGAAAACATACTGCGAGAATCGACATGCGTCAACCGACTTAACATCATTGTTACAGAAGACTAGAGAATTCAAAAACCCTTTTTGGGTCCTAATAAAGGTTAGAGAAGACAGATGTTCTGTATTCAATTGAACGAACTAATATGAAGTTGGTTTTGATCTACAAACCGAAAAACCTTAGGTAGACTTCAATAGATTCATCGATTACATAAGATCTATTTACGCTATGTAAAATATTATTATTTTCTTCTCTATAAACTATTCATTTACGTTGGTGTATACACTTGTTGTCTTTCCTTTAATCATGAGATTAAAATTACTTTATATCTTTCTTTCTAATTCTTTCTTTTTGTACTATATCCTTATACACAATCTCTCTTCGATATATTACTATCATTGAAGTAACTACATCTGTGAATTTGGTGTTCATCTTGTTGTGCTAATGAGGTATGGCAACTTGCACCGATATATATATATAACCTGGTCCTACGCCGTATCTGACTGGGCCACTGACTTCATTTACAAAAGCTATTTTCCAATTGGTAAACAACTGATTACAAGTTCGTCATCGTTGTTTCAGGCTTGTATCTATACGAAACTCTTACCGATAATAATACTTTTGTAGCTTAATATTAAATACTCTATAAATAAAATGCACTATAACAATAAAATATTTTTTTATTGATCTCAAAACGAGAATGAAAATTATACCTACTTCTCTTTGTAAAAGTGCTTCAACTTCATGGATATTCAGATAACCGTCTCCATCTAAATCTAAATTATTTATTTATATTTAAAAGAAAAATAACAAGAGAATGAAAAACTATAAATAGAAAAAAATAATGGTAAAACTACAGAATATTTTTATCAGTTATTTGCCTCAGCAGTAAGGCCTTGTGGAGATAAAATTTTGACAATTCATAAGAAATATATTTAATATGACAATAAAATAAAACATGCTTTTTTATGTTTTTTTATCATTATACACTACTGATCAATTGTATTGCTTTATCATAGCTCTAAGGATTCAAATAACTCCGTTTGTAGCTCTTTTAGAGTTACTGTTGGTCCCACACCCACACAAAGGAGGAGGATTGGGCATAGCGTCGGCAACATCATCCCGTAGAAATAAACCTTGCAAAAAAACACCAACCAGAAAAAAAATTAAACCATTTAAACTCTATACTGGGAGTTGAAGGAAGAATGATGACGCCTCACAATGAAAGCTGAGATTCTTCGGAAGTCGCGAGGTTGGTGTCCCTTCTAGCAACCAGAGCAACAATTCGTATAGGTACATGGAACATCCGTACAATGTAGGAGACCAGAAGGAGCAGTAAAATAGCAACGGAAATGAGGACAACTTGGCAACACTCGGAACCAGCGACACCTATTGCTACATCATGTTACATATATACATCCTTCATCGCCCTCTGATGTATAATTTGTAAGCAGCTGATGAGAACCCAACGAAATAAAATGAATTCATATTATCCTGCACCAACCTTTGTTCTTGCTCTCTTTAAAATAACAAAGGGAACCATGTGTATGAAATTCGGGAGAGTTTTGAGATGGTGGAGAAGTTGCTCGTGCACTCTGTTCACAAAGAAGAAAATGCTCCACACGCTCAAGGAGTTACTCTAATGCTGTACAAAGAAGCAAGGAATGCACTTATAGGATGGAAATCTCACGGATCTAGGATAGCCAAAGCATTCTTCAAAATAAAGAATAAGCGAATCACGATGAATGTGATCGTTTTAGGCACCCACCAATGATAGCAACGACGACAATAAAGATCAGCTCTATGAGCGACTATAATCAATCATAGCGTAAAGCCCAAGAAAGGATCTCACTATCCTGATGGTAGACGTAAGTGCCAAAGTCGGAATGGACAACACCAGATATCAAGGACGACATAAACTGGGGGAGAAAAACGCAAATGGGGAGAGATTTGCAAACCTGGGTGTGAGATGACGAGAAGAAAGGTCAAAATTTGATTGATTTACTCATGAGTTTTGTTCAACATTACTTCTGTTTTGATAATTCAGTGTAGTAGTTGTTTTGTTTACTCATATGATATTTTATTCTGTATCATATACGATATTCTTGTATTCAATGGGCATGAACTATAATCAGTATGTGATTGTTACCTATATATATGTGATCTCATCATAATTATTAATCAAATTGTGAGTACAATCAATATATAAATGAATGTATTGATGACTATCGTCCTCATCGTCGTGTTTTGGGGTTAATAAATCTTCACTTACACCAGTTTTTGTGTTCTTACTTTCGCGTCGTGGGAATTGCGGAGGTACCTCGTTTCGAGGATAAGTGATAAGCGTTTCTGACACAACAATCAGCGACGACCGGATATAAAAAGTAGCATTTAACTGACAAGTTATAACAAAGTGCATTCCACAAAGTGGTTATAGACGGCACGATATACTACAAACACACAAAGCTACAAGGGTTTCACCGGATTACATCACATCAATAAGGAATGGGTCCCCATCGAAACCCCATACAATATTCAAGAAAGGAAGAATAGGAAAACGGCAATCAACAACAGCCGAACAAGGGTAGAGGAAGCCAAAGTACAATCTGGATACACAGAAGCAAACAAGCAAGTGAAGAGAAGCATTAGAACTGACAAGTAGAAATACGTGGAAGATCTGGCAACGACAGTGGAGAAAGCTTCAAGTGAAGGAAATATGAGACAACTATATGACACACCGAAGAAACTGGTAAGGAAATATAGTAAACTAGAGAGAGACCACTCAAGGACAAAGAAGGCAAGACAATCACCAAGATTCAAGAGCATAGGAACAGATGGGTGGGACTCTTGAATATACCACCTCCACTCAGTCCACCGGACATCGAAGCAACACTCACAGACGTTTTTACAGAGGTCACTCCTCCAACGATCGAAGAAATCAGGATGGCCATCAGACAAATCAAGAGTGGGAAACAACAGAACCTGACAATATACCAGCTGAAGCACTGAAGTCAAACATAGAAGTAATTGCAAACATGCTTCACGTTCTATTCGGGAAGATTTAGGAGGACGGACAATTGCTGACGGACTGGAGAGAAGGACACCTCATCAAGATACCAAAGAAAGTAAATCTGAGCAAGTGTGAGGACTACAGAGGCATCACATTACTATAAATACCAGGAAAAGTTTCCAACACAGTGTTGCTGAACCGGATGAAAGACTCAATCGACGCACAACTTCGAGATCAACAGGCTAGATTTCGCAAGGATCGGTCATGCACAGACCAAATCGCGACACTACGGATCATCGTTTAACAATCGGTTGAGTGGAACTCGTCATTATACATCAGCTTCCTTGATTATGAGGAAGCATTTGACAGTGTGGATAGGAGAACACTGGAAACCTCTTCGACACTATAGTGTGAGTATTTGAGAAGATCGTCAACATCATCCGGAATTCATACGAAGGACTACCCTGCAAAGTGGTGCATGGAGGACAACCCACAGACGCATTCCAAGTGAGGACCGGAGTCAGACAAAGCTGCTTACTCTCCTCCTTCCTCTTTCTTCTAGTGGTCGACTGGATTATGAAGATCTCGACATCTGAGGGAAAGCACAGAATACAATGAACAGGTTGGATGCAACTACACGATTTGGATTTCGCAGATGAACTGGCTCTTCTATGCCATACACACGAATAAGTGCAGATGAAGACAGCCAGTGTAACACCAGCTTCTACATCAGTAGGCCTCAACGTACACAAGAGAAAAAAGCAATATCCGGAAATACACAACACGGAGAACACCAACCCAATCACACTTGATGGAAGATGTGGAATCTTTCACGCACCTGGTCAGCACCATCGGTGAACGTGGAGGATCCGATGCAGACGAGAAAGTGAGGATTGATAAAGCAAGGACGGCATAACTACAATTGAAGAACATATAGAGCTCAAAACAACTGTCAGCCAATATCAATGTAATGATCTTCAATACGAACGTCAAGACAGTTTTGCTATACGGAGCTGGAAGTTTGAGAACAACTTCAACGATCACCAAAATGATACAAGTATTTATAAATAGTTGTCTATTCGGGATACTCAATGCCCGTTGACCGGATCGGATACCATCAGCAGCAGCCAACTGTGGTGTGGAGGAGGACGAACCAGCTTCAATCTGAAGAGGAAATTATGAAACGAAGCGAGAGGTGGATAGTACATACACTGAGGAAATCACCAAACTGCATCACAAGGTAAGCCCTAACTTGGAATCCTGAAGGGAAAGAGAAACTAGGGAGACCAAGGAACACATTGAGTCGAGCATTGGAAGTAGACATCAAAGGGATGAATATTAACTGGAAAGGATTGCCCAGGACAGAGTTGGATGGAGAGTGTTTGTGGGCGACCCATGCTCCTCCACGAGAGGTTACAAGCGTAAGTAGGTAAGTAAGCAAGCAAAAGTGAAATTAAATACTAAAAGCTTCAAGGTATTCAAAAGTACAGGTTATAAATTGCTTCTAAAAAAGCAGTTATTTCTGTGACTGCTTGAACTGAAATTCAAATTTAAGTGAATACAGTAGCTGTTATACGTAGTAAACAATCAGAACAATAAATTCATATCAGCGGTGAGACTGTAATTCATCCGTTAAACAATCCGGTTTATGATAGCGGGTCTTAGATTTTGGCGTGAACTGCATCCTTTTATTTAGCTAGATAACATTTCGGAATCCCAGTTGATGTCAGTTAGTGATAAAAACCACAAATCTATTTCTTACCCTAACCATCAACTGGAAATCATAATTCTAATTCCCCACACTGGTTTATGACCTTCATTTAGTCCTAGTTAGTGGGTGAACATTCTCGAGGTCACTTTAGCATCGCTCAAAGGTCGTCCATAAATTGTGGTCTCATTGATGTAAATTATTCCAAGATGTTTACAATTGAGTGACCAGATAGTCGAAAAGACAACTGTACTCACTGACCACAATACACTTGAATGATTCGACAACATGGAGTTTATATACAAACTGGGTATACCCAGCCCCTCCTTGTAATAAATTCCAAGTTATCCTAATTTTAGGCTTGTTGTGCTACTGGTTGTTTTTTCTTTGTTTTCCTTATTAGGACCAAGTGCATTTTATGCACTTACTGAGTTTTCGGCTTACTTTTCCTCCTGTTTTTCCAACTTTCAGCTATCCTCACACATACAACTCTTTGCACTCCTATAGTACCTAAAGTACTACCAGGCTAGACGTGAACAGACACTTGACCAACTGCGTCGATGAAGGTCACTAAGCACTTATGGTATCATATCCAATGTTGCTTGAAAGCAACTAGTCCCATGGTATGCCCGTCAGCGAAGTATGGTACAAGGATGTTGGAAATTAAAGACGTTGAGTTGTGGGAATTGATACGAAAAGAAAAAACTAGACAACGATCATCACTCGAATTAATTGCTTCGGAAGTATGTTCCCTGGCCCATCTGTATGCATTTTCAGAACTTTGTATCACAAAGTATTCTTGAATGCCTTGGCTCATGTTTAACAAACAAATATTCAGAAGTAAGCAAGTAAGTAAGTAAGTAAAGTAAGTAAGTAAGTAAGTAAGTAAGTAAGTAAGTAAGTAAGTAAGTAAGTAAGTAAGTAAGTAAGTAAGTAAGTAAGTAAGTAAGTAAGTAAGTAAGTAAGTAAGTAAGTAAGTAAGTAAGTAAGTAAGTAAGTAAGTAAGTAAGTAAGTAAGTAAGTAAGTAAGTAAGTAAGTAAGTAAGTAAGTAAGTAAGTAAGTAAGTAAGTAAGTAAGTAAGTAAGTAAGTAAGTAAGTAAGTAAGTAAGTAAGTAAGTAAGTAAGTAAGTAAGTAAGTAAGTAAGTAAGTAAGTAAGTAAGTAAGTAAGTAAGTAAGTAAGTAAGTAAGTAAGTAAGTAAGTAAGTAAGTAAGTAAGTAAGTAAGTAAGTAAGTAAGTAAGTAAGTAAGTAAGTAAGTAAGTAAGTAAGTAAGTAAGTAAGTAAGTAAGTAAGTAAGTAAGTAAGTAAGTAAGTAAGTAAGTAAGTAAGTAAGTAAGTAAGTAAGTAAGTAAGTAAGTAAGTAAGTAAGTAAGTAAGTAAGTAAGTAAGTAAGTAAGTAAGTAAGTAAGTAAGTAAGTAAGTAAGTAAGTAAGTAAGTAAGTAAGTAAGTAAGTAAGTAAGTAAGTAAGTAAGTAAGTAAGTAAGTAAGTAAGTAAGTAAGTAAGTAAGTAAGTAAGTAAGTAAGTAAGTAAGTAAGTAAGTAAGTAAGTAAGTAAGTAAGTAAGTAAGTAAGTAAGTAAGTAAGTAAGTAAGTAAGTAAGTAAGTAAGTAAGTAAGTAAGTAAGTAAGTAAGTAAGTAAGGTTTATTGTCAAAAGTATGTATACTTAATATAAATAAAGGCAATTATGTTAACCTATCGCAACATAGGATCTGGCATGAACGACTAAGGATTCACATCAAACCTCGAAGTATTACGATTAGAAGAATGGTAGTGGTATCCAGCTCAGAGAACAAGACTCCATCAAAATCACTCATGTGAGCTACAAATCTTCTGCACCATCTCAAAAAGGTATTATTTGGTGTTTACTCTAACGGAAACAGTAAAAAGGGAATAACGGGAAATTGAAAAGTACGTAATAAAAATGTATTTAAGATCTGGAAGACAATAAATGACCAATTACTGTCGACTTGGGGTCATTTCATTCGACGTATCCATTTGAATACTGAGATTATTCCATGGATCCCCAGCAAGGACATTTTCATTAAGTATTATTGATCAGTATAAATGTCAATAAATCCGTCAATCGATGTCATGTTATGACATGCCTGACTTCACTTTTATACAACACACTCTTACCTCAAACAGCAATGTGCATTGTTGTAAGGTATAGGTGGAAATACATACCATATGCCCAAGACACCTCAGGATCATCAACCCACTTTTCATATTTATTTAATACACCATACTTAACTCTAATACTAATCACTCATTTATCCTGTAATACACAACTAAAACTTCGAAGACATTTATGATTAAGTACTAGTGTAGTGAACAAGAATTCGAGTGGGGATAATCGAAATTATTTGAGTACAAAATTACAGAGCATCTCACTAAAAAATGAGAACCATATAATAAATCGTTAATCTGCAAAATATCAATCCATCATCTCAAACTTGACTGTTCCCGTTGCGAACCTCAATCCATTGTATCAGATTTCATTGTTCATGCGTTTTCATACCAATTGCGTTCCGTTCCTGTTCTTTCCTCATCGACCTTCTACTGAAATACATTCTATGCCTGACCACCACTATATACTACTTGTGTGGATATAAGTAACCCACACCACACTAGTAACCTCATATATCAGAGCCACATAGCAAGAAATAGAGGACCTCAGCGAAGGACACCGAGTGAGAAAGTTAAACACCACAAGCTAACACTATTTGAGTAGAGCCTTTGTTATATTAATTTATATGCTTGACAAGTGCCGAAAGATCTTTCGGTCAAATAAGTTAATTGCAACCCTCAATTTAAGAAATATGACTAACGTCGAGTATTGCTAAGCATCTCAGTCCTTCAAAGTCCATCGAAGTGTACACATTAGGTCAACTGTCTATTTTTTAGGATTCTCCGTACTAGCATCCGATTATTATGGAAGTTGGTCTTCATGTTTCAAATCAAATTCAAAATTGCTGAAAAAATACGTTATTTATATTGGAGTTGTAGAAAAACTGTAAGTTGGAAAAGATGTGACGTTGATCAACTAAGTTGTTTATTGAGTAAAAATTAATTTTAAATTATTAAAGATTTATAAATCATAAGGTTGGAAATTCCCGACCGTTGTTGCTACCTTGACGTGATGGTCGGGCTTGCCTGTCGTGATGAAGCAACCGAGCTATACTGGCTGGAACAACCGTTCCTCAAGGTCCTACCATGTCAGACAGGTCGGTTGAAGAGCGGTAAGACTAGAAGCAACGAACCCAAGGTTCGAAGGCGAAGTCGTACTGCCGACTGTAGAGAAGTGTGACAGCATTAAGGTGTTTCGTTCAGACAACCAGTATGACAGCGATGCTGCCTTCCCACAAGGAGGGGTGGGGTTAGAAAAGGTCGACCCTAAAAATGCACACCTCGCCTTATCCCACGGATATCCGTCTCCGGTGGTAAGGTTTCAACAAGTACGGAGCTAACACAAAAATCACCCATAAAAAGGTTGTGTGTGACCGACCTCAAGCAGTTGTCCCTTGGGCACTGCGGTCACGCTCCCAGGTCACTAAGACCACCTCTAATCCAATTTCCTTTTCAGGTACTTCCAGAACAACCCTTCCACGGTGTGGGCAACCGGGAAGTGACAACCGCCCTCATACCTCTAACAACACTCAAGACTGACTGACTGAAGGTTGGAAATTAAATTGCAGAAAGGAATATATAGACAGGACCTACCAATATCAGCAAATAACGTTCGAGAATTGAATGATTCCTTATCCAACCCCTCATATTTTTCCCAATATTCTCTAAGCTGATCTTGACTTCCCTGCATCGAAAAACAGTAGTAACTCACTTTATTCATCATATTAGCAGTAGTTAGGGTCATTATAAATTCACTTGAGTAATATGAAAATGAACTAAAATCTGAAGATTTCTGAATCTTAAGTTAATATAAACACTTGAAACCCCTCAAATTTGCAATATATAAATCAATTAAATTGACTATATATATATATATATATATATATATATATATATATATATATATATATATATATATATATATCAGAACCCTCTAGCTTAAGAAAGATTAAGCAAATCAATCATTAAACTCTCTGAGAGCTTATTAAATAAAGGTTACCATAAAAATATCCACAAAATTCTTGTTTTAATACGAGTGATCATGCAAAATCAAAACTCATGTATTTGACACATGGAATCAAAGATTACACACTCTGAATTTCCTGTCACTTTTCCTTAATATAAATCGGTTTTTAAATTGCGTCAAGCGACATAGGTATGTAAATTTAAAAATTGCTAAATACACTATTAAAATTAATAATAACATTAGTGTATGAGTCCGTCTCTATTTTCTCATTGTTAATATATACGACCGCATTTGGTCGGTTTCGGTTGACCGAGCAGATGTTTTAGCATTGTTACAAGATCCTAAACTGATCAAACACCGTCCTGAATACTAGGAACAGGTAAATATACAACCCCTTACAAATAACATTACACTTATGGAACGAGTTACTAGTTATTTGGACTTGGAGGCTTTGTGGATTAAGCGTTAACGTTTGAAGCTCTAGGCACTGGATTCGAATTTCTGTGTGAAAATCAAAATGAGAATCCAGGTGCTTTTTACTGACGAGTCCCAAGTAGAACATAGCGTGTCCTATGAACTCTACTGTAATCCAAAAATTTACCAAAAATATGACTTCATGTTTGCAAAAAGTAAGGGAGTTATTATTTCGGTGATTAAAAGTTTCAAGTAGTAAAGTTGAAATAATGGCTGATTATATGGATATATGTGATGAAGAATGAGTTTTCAGCAGTTCCACAAAAAAGCCTTATATCAAGTTATTCAAAACTAAGTATTTTATGTAAAAAGAAACTATACATAAGTACTGTAATATCTTCATTTAAAAGTACACAAAAGATTATAATAATGTAAAACTAGACTTACTGGTTGGTAAATTTTAGGATGACTTTTGTGTTTTTCAGCCTGTTCTTTCAAACTCTTAAGCATCCTAGCACGCTCTTCTTCTGTGAATTTACTGAATTTCCGTACCATATCACTTTTTTCTTTAGCTACATGCTCTTGGTACTTCTTTTCCTGATCAGTATCTAGTTTTTTCAACTGATCAACAACCTGGAAATGGAATGACAAAATTCATCATTATGCCAGTGATATATTGCGATAAGTGGTAGAATTTCAGACATAATTGGTAAACGAAAACTCAGAAGTGAGAGTAATATCTATAGCTCACCTTACATTTTGGCGACCAAATGCAGAATATACAAGGCTGTTAATCGAACCTTTTGTGTAACGGTTAAGATAGTTATCAATCTTTAACATATGTGTCGAATGTTCGATTTTCAAACCAAAGTATCATAGTGCCATGAATACAAGTTTGAAATCCAAGTCAACAGTTACTATGGATGTCGATATAAATAAACTGTACATAAGTAGTCAGACGCCAGATCTTTTCAAAAATAAAAGCCTCTACATAAATGAAAACGAATTTGAATATCTTAAAGGTTGCCAAGTAATTCATTTCAACTAGAACTCAGACTGTTTTGTCAAAACATAGTTGAACGGCTTGAAATAATGTGGTTTAACTTAATACCTACCTGTATACTGTTTTTACTTAACTGAGTGTAGGCGATCTGAAACAACAGGTAATGAACGAAACTAATAATTAACAATGACATGAGATGATTAAATGATAGTCTGGTACAGAAGGTCTATTCCACACTACATGAATCATAGCAGCAATCAGTGAAATTATGAGCTTCCACCGTATTTCGAGGTAACCTATTTTTTAAAGACATGATCAAGACTTCGGCGACATACAAACAAATACCTGTCCTCCAGTTAAATCCTTCATGTTCAACGACTATGTTTCATTCAGGAATGATGTATGGCATACCTGCCGTCTGATACACAGATGGAGACTGGGTGAGTAATAAGTGGTATAAGTCTGGAAATATCATATGGTTCCTCTGTACTTGCTGTGGAATTCGGTCGAAGACAATTATATCAATGTCGAATCAGCTTTCAAGCTAAACAACTCCATTCCTTATATTAGATGTCAGTGGAAATCTATCCTTGAACATAATCACATATTTAGTAGATATAAAACATTTCCTGTATACATTCAGATTTTTAAGATATGTAGTGGCTGTGCTTCGTTAACTAATCACCCCCGAACCGTTATCGTATTATCTTCAACGGTGTTTGAGATCAGAAGGCAAAAAAAAGCAGCTACTACAGTTTATTTAGTAGATAATTCGGACCAGACAGCAGAGAGGCAAAATGAATGAGCAAGCGAACTACGATTGTAGCAGTAGCTAGTTGTAGTGGTAGTAGTAGTAGTTGTAGTAAATGGGTGCAAATGTACACATATATATATGTATAGGAAAATGGAGAGTCAGCGAATAGATTAAGCAGTTAATAATGAAGCTAGCAGAATGAATACATGCGTAGGCGCTAAACAATGTTCAAGCATATGTATTTCATACAAGCATAATAATAAAGATAGTACAACAAGTTGTTATATCATGAATGACTTTGACCATTAAATAGGTCAACAAAAGACCTTGATTGAACTAAACTCGATTGCACGTGAGTCACTATAATAGCTCCCCCCTGCAAACAAAGATATATGGAAAAATGTCTGTGTTTGCACAAAATAAGAGTAAACTGAATAGAGTAGTTACAATCGTTTGAAAAAAAATGGATTGTACAAAATTAAGATGAAGTTAGTGTGTGCTGTACATTTGGTTGGTGCCCGTCCGTGAGGTTTTAAAAAATAATAGCAATAAATAGAAGGAATGCGGTATTGCTTTACATTTTAAATAAAAATTATACGTGTAAGTGTAGGGGTACATAAGATATGTTGAGTTTTATAGCGTATAACATGAAATTAGTAATGCATGTGTGTACAATGAAGTGGAAGTTATAATTAATATTTTAAATAGTAGAAAATTATTAATAGAAGATTGCAGCGACATAATGTTGGGGCCATCTTACTCTTCGACCAGACCTTGTCGTTACTGGATTCTCTTTGTTTGTGTTCGTCGATGTCGTTGATGATTGGAACTGACGTTTAGATGATTCAACGGTTTTCGCAGTATCTGTATGTACTGGCTGATCGCAGGCTTCGATGAAAGCTGGTTTGACTCGGTCGATGCTAATTACATCCGTTTTTCCAGCTTTTTCTACCGTGATAGTTTTGTCGTCTCTTTTAATCACCTTAAATGGACCATCGTAGGCCGGTTGTAAGGGACGTTGCACATTATCCCTTCTGATAAACACATGGGTACTGTCACTTAGTTGTTTGGGTATGTACACACGGCGTTGATGTTGTCTCGGAAGCGTTATCCTTAGACTACTCATATGCTGCTTAAGACGCTGTACATAGTCCGCTATATCAGTTAGAACGCTTTTACCTGCAGTGAAAAACTCTCCTGGCAGACGTAGTGTGGTTCCATAAACCAACTCTGCTGGGCAGCATTCTATATCCTGTTTGATTGTTGATCTTAAGCTCAACATGACTAACGGTAGCTTGCTGGCCCAATCATTATTGCTGATGACAGCTGTAAGAGAAGCTTTAAGTTGCCGATGCAATCTCTCTACCATACCATTCGACATCGGATGGTAGGATGTTGTGCGAATTCGTTTGATTCCGAGTAGTTCTGTGAGTTGTTGGAAGAGGCGGCTCTCGAATTGAGCTCCTCTATCGGTTGTAATATTAGTAGGTACGCCATAATGGGAAATCCAATGCTCTACTAGGTTTTTTGCGATAGTTTCGGCTGTAATATCTTTTATGGGCACAGCTACAGGCCATCGTGTGAATCTATCAATGCAAGTGAAAATGTAACTGAAGCCATTCGAAACCGGCAGTGGCCCTATAATATCGATATGTACATGCTCGAATCTGTTATCGGGATGACGGAACTGACCTACTGCGGAACTGGTGTGGCGATGTATCTTAACTCTCTGGCATTTTATACACGCTTGCGTCCAATTACGAATATCCCGATTCATACTTGGCCATACGAAACGTTCGCTGATTAGTTTGATGGTGGCCTTTATTCCGGGATGCGGAATATTGTGCATGGCTTCGAAAATGTTTCGCCTTAGCGGCTTTGGAATAAATGGTCTTGGTTGGCCTGTAGAAATATCGCAGGTGATGCTTACTTCTTCCAATGGAGTTTCTTTGAGAACTAACGAGGTTATATTGGCAGACTTTAGTCTGTTTAACTCGACGTCGATATTTTGTAATGCTGCTAACTTGTGATAATCGATTTCGGACTGGACGAGAGCGTTGACCATCGTTCTGGATAGCGCGTCTGCCACTTCGTTACTATTGCCTTTGATATACTGTATGTTAGACGTGAATTGGGAAATAAACTCTAATTGTCGGATTTCCCTCGGCGAGTAGTTGTCCTGTTTGGCGTTCAATGCTTTTGTGAGGGGTTTATGGTCTGTATATACTGTGAAAATGGTACCCTCAATCATATGTCGGAAATGTTTTATTGCCAAGTAAATCGCTAGGAGTTCTCTTCCGAAAGTACTATATCTTGTTTGTGTCGGATTCAGTCTTTTCGAAAAAAATGAGAGCGGTTCCCATATGCCATTTACTAATTGTTGTAAAACGGCTCCTACCGCTACATCTGATGCATCCGTCATGATAGCTAACGGTGTTTCGCTCTTTCGTCTAGTTAGTGTCACTTCTTTATTTAGTGCTTTTTTAGCGTTCTCGAATGCTTGAATTGCGTCTGGTGATAATTGGAATGTCCGTGCGTTTCCGCGTAATGCATCTGTTAGTGGTTGCAATATTGACGCGCAATTCGGGATAAATCGTCTGTAATAATTTATTAACCCGAGAAATCGGCGTAACTTTTTCCATGAGTCGGGTAGGGGATAATTCCTAATGGCGTCGACTTCTGTTGCTATTGGTGTGATGCCTTGAGAAGTTATATTGTGACCTAGGAACTGTAAAGATTCTTTTCCGAATTCACACTTCTCAATATTTATAGAAATGCCGTGTTCTCTGAGTCGCATAAATAATTGCCGTAGTTGTTGCATATGCTCATCCTTAGTGGTCCTAGCTACTAATAAATCGTCGATATACGCGTATACGCCAGGTAAACCTCTAATGACCTGGTCGATAAACCGCTGAAAGGTTTGTGCCGCGTTAGTCAGTCCAAAAGGCATACGCAGGAATTCATATAGCCCAAATGGGGTTGTTACTGCTGTCTTCGGTATGTCTTGTGGGGCAACAGGGATGTGGTAGTATGCTCTAAGTCGATCTTCGAGAAGATAGTAGTGCCCTCTATACTGTAGGTGAAATCATGAATGTGCGGTATAGGATATCTGTCAGCTACCGTTAGTTTGTTTAGTGCTCTGTAATCCCCACATGGCCTAACCTCTCCATTCTTTTTCGGGGCCATATGTAGCGGGGATGCCCACGGGCTGCTCGATGGCCTTATAATGCCTAGCCTCATTAGCTTGTCGAATCCCTGTTTTGCGATGGCTAGTCTTTTGGGATCTAACCTTCTTGGTCTTGCATTGATTGGTGGACCATTCGTTACGATGTGATGCTGAATAGAATGTTTGAGATCCGCTTTATTGTATGTTACTTTTACGAGTTCAGGGAACTCCCTTAACAACAATTTATATGGATCACCACAACTTTTATCTGTCACAAGGTTCATTGAAACGGCTTCCGTAAGTATTCCTCTTATCGAAGTGGTTTGACTGCCGTTTATAAGTCTGTGTCGTCTAGAGTCTACTAGCAGGTCAAAGTTACATAAGAAATTTATGCCTATTATGGGCATCGATACGTCTGCTATGACAAAGTTCCAGCGGTATGAAGCGCCACGTCCAAAATCTAGGGACAAGTTCCGTTTACCATATGTCTTAATATCTGATTTGTTTGCGGCTCTTAGCACTAATGACGGATTAATGTTTTTTCTTTCCTCGTTAAATGGAGGTACTACGCTTATTTCCGCTCCAGTGTCAACTAAGAATTGTGCGCCAGTGGTCCGGTCTTTTATATAAAAGAGGCGACTATTTTCAGGCATTATGTGTATTGATGCTGTTGCCATTGATACTCGTGGGTATCGGTTACTATCCCTGTTAAATCTACAAGGTTGTAGGCACTTTCTAGCCCTGTAGCCGAACATTTGATGATACCAACATATCGTGGGAGTTGTGCGTCGTCTAGAAGTTGACCGGTTCCTTTCACGCGAGCGATCTCGCGATGACCTTCGTGGCTTTTCTGTCTTCGTTAACTCTGTGAGTTTGCGGCATAAAACATTTATTTCCTTCTGTAGAGTATCAAGTCTATCGTCTACTGTCACGTTGTGTAGTGGAGGGCTCGCTTGCTTGCTTCTTTCGTATATTCTATCGGCTATCTTTGCTATATTGTCTAAATCAGCATCCGTATCTCCCACAGCCAGGATCTGCTGTATATTTGCCGGGAGTCGGCGGAGCCACAGTTGATAAAAGAGATTATTGTCAATGTGTCTATCGCCAAGTAGACTTTTCATATAATTTTTTAGTTGTGATGGGGTTCTATCTCCAATTTGTACTTGGTTAAGAAGTTGTTCGACGGCTTGTTGGTCACTGAGAGAGAGAGAGTTTTAATTACAGCCTCTTTTAGCACGTCGTATGGTTTTTCTGTGTCTGGTTTTGCTAGTGCCTCTCGAACGCTGTCAGCTACTTCGTCTGGGAGTAGTGTGCTTGTCAGGCCGAACTTATCCTTTTGCAAAAGAATGCGGTTAGCGAGAAAATAATTTTCAAGTCTTATAAACCAAAGTTTTGGGTCTGCGATTTTAAAAGAAGGGGCAGGGAGGTTAAGAGACCTCACGGACGAGGCTTGCTGTACGCTTGAAACTGTGTTTTCATAAGACATACTTATAAAAATTAAGTAGCACACGAAAATAATTTAAGTCACAAGGGAGAATAGACGGGCAAAAACAATGATAATAAAAAAATGGCACTATTTAAAAAATGGAACAGACTTACTAAATTGCACCAATATATCAATTGTTTATGGATAATTGTTATTTATTATGATTATAATTGTCACGTTTAATAATGTTTGCGAAATAATGTAAGTGTAATTAAAATAATAATATAAATCCACAGTTGTAATTATAGTTCATTTGATAATCCAAATTGAGATGAAAAGAATCGGATTTTTGGGATTTGATTATTTCGCCGAAATTCGCTTCCCGTTCTCACGTCGGGATTACCAATTCTGTAGTGGCTGTGCTTCGTTAACTAATCACCCCCGAACCGTTATCGTATTATCTTCAACGGTGTTTGAGATCAGAAGGCAAAAAGAAGCAGCTACTACAGTTTATTTAGTAGATAATTCGGACCAGACAGCAGAGAGGCAAAATGAATGAGCAAGCGAACTACGATTGTAGCAGTAGCTAGTTGTAGTGGTAGTAGTAGTAGTTGTAGTAAATGGGTGCAAATGTACACATATATATATGTATAGGAAAATGGATGAGTCAGCGAATAGATTAAGCAGTTAATAATGAAGCTAGCAGAATGAATACATGCGTAGGCGCTAAACAATGTTCAAGCATATGTATTTCATACAAGCATAATAATAAAGATAGTACAACAAGTTGTTATATCATGAATGACTTTGACCATTAAATAGGTCAACAAAAGACCTTGATTGAACTAAACTCGATTGCACGTGAGTCACTATAGATATTCAAGGGAACCTGGATTTTGTTAACATGTTCGCTCAGAAACTATTTATTCTTTTAAATTAAAATAATATATTTGTAATATCCCAATAAGTAGAAAAACTAGATTTTCTGACGTTTCGTGACTTAGTGTAAGTCAGTTCTTTAAAGAATAAATAACCAAATTAAATTAACCTAAGTTTGTTACATGTTAAACAGACGATTAAATCAAAAACAACTGGTCGTCAGCAGAATTATATAAATTTTTAAAGTAGAACGTAAATTATGGCAGTTATGCTAGAATCGAATCTTTCAGACGAGGAGAACAGTGCATTGAACAAATTTACTTTCAAAAATGAAGTAATCTGGATACTTAGTGAACTTATTAGGAAAAAACAATGTGAAAATATAATATCTCAATAAATAAATGTTGGCAATCGATGTCAGATTTTAACTGACTGCTGATCTGTACTTTATGTAGCTGATAATTGCCTAGTTCAGTAAAATGGATGTGATAACTATTTAAATATACATAGACAAATATAAAAAGACGTTAATTTTAAAAGATGAGCTAAATGTTAGAGTGAAACAACCACACATGGAACAATATAATGGTTACTTTTTTCGGTGATTCCGTTTCATATCCCGGAATGCTATTGTAGACAATGCCGCCCATTGTGTTAGGATGACTATCCGCTGCTTTCTTCAAATGAGATTTTATAAGTTTTTCGACTAGATGACGTTTTGTTTCATCGTGTTTATCTCGTAAACTTGTATTCCAAAGTAGTAATAAATCATCTAAAGAAGACTACAATGAAGGAAACTAAGCGAATTTGTGTATGAAGTAAGAAAACTGATAACTTAATAATGCAATTATAATTAATAAGTAAAGTAATAGAACTTACAATAAATAAAAATTTAATTTATATAACTCCAGAAGCAAACAAATAATTATGTGGTCCGTTTATAATCACATTTATGAGACTTAGAGATACTATAACTGTCCAAACATAAATATGTAGAGGCACCAACAACAATTAGCAAACAAGCACTTTAAAAACTGAGTCGTGACTTCAAAAGACAAGACAAAATTTATCATCAACTTCAGATAACCACCATTAAATTTTTTAAAAAAATTGACTGACAAAAATTCGTGTCAGAAAATGTGAGGTCAAACAATGAAAGAACACATACTGACATCTACTTACGAATGAATAAATCGGTCACTCTGTTATAATCGAAGTAGAGTCAAGTATATATATACTTATGACCAGGTCGACATTACAAATCAGCACAATCAGATGAAGGCAACAAAATGACTAGCGAAGGAGACAAAATGTTGTAGCAATGAGGATGAGAATATACTGAGAGAAGACAACGAGGAGAGATATATATGAAGGACTCGAGATATACAAGAAAATAGTGACAAATATTAACACAGAACCTCTCAATCTACGGAATCATGTGCCGAGTTAAGACCAAGGAATATAACTACAGTAGCGCTTCCGTGAATAAGCCTATAATGCAAGGACTGAAAAAGAATGAACAATTGATTAATACATCCACCACCAAGTCTAAAAGAAGTAGTGTCTTCGAATCAACTGCTTCTGAGCTCCAGATAAGCATCTGATCATAGAAGCTGTGAAAAATAGTGAGTAGGTTGAAGTTAGAAATGCACACCATTAAGATATTGATCCAATTATTTAGAGGCTAAGCCCTTGTTCATGATCTGAAAGGCCCTGGGTTCCATCCCCGGCAGGGTCGTGGATGTACACCTTTGAGAAGTCGCTTACAGTGGCTAAACACTTTACTTATAAACTTAAACGAACAAAACCAATCAGATGAGATCAGATTCAGCTCTTGAATTCTAGCCAGTATCTAAAAACACCTAACTGCTAGGACCGAACCAACACTCCTAAAGATTTTTGAAGCCAATTTCTCAGGACCTGCTGCTTTCTCTTGTTCCAAGTTATATATGGCCTTTCCAACCACGTGAAATCTGGGGATATATGCAAGCAGTTTTCACTTTTCGGTTACTCACACCATAAAAGTATATTTTTTCTTATGGTACATGAGAAGGAAATCGGAATGATAATAGTAGAGTCTCAAGGAATAAGCGTCCCAGTCTACGTGGTTCTGTTAAGTCGTCACGATATCCCTACCACCATGTCCAGATAACAGCTACGGAAGGGCTTTTTATCAGTACGTTCTCTTTAGTGTACTGCAAGTAAATGTGGAAAACTTTGTATCAACTACTGAATGCAGACGAAAAAGTATATTTTGAGAACGTTCTTCTCCTCTTTAACAAGTATTTCCCACTTTTTTCATTTGAACACACAAACTTTGGTACAAGGAGGCAAAAATATATGCGCAATATAATGAAAATGAGGTTGTGAAGAGATAAAGTGAGTATAGAAAAAGAGAGAAACAGCGATGAATAGAAATTAATGTATGAAAGTGAAACAATAATAATAAACATAAAAATAATAATAATGAAAGGAGCAGTTCATTCAGGAAAAGTGCAACCAGAAAGAATTCTTTTGGTTAAATAAGTTACACTTGCTTTTGTGATATTAAGACAGTTACAGCACGATCCTAACTAGCTTCTATCTTGAGACATATCTGATAACATCTCGAGCCACTGTGTTGCACCATCTTTAAGACCGCAACCAGGGAGACGTAAAGCACCAACAGAAGCCAGTTCTGAACGGCTATCTTTCACCACGACACAGTCAGTCAGCTACAACGTAGGACCACGACACAGTATCATGCTCTGACCACCTTTGTTTTTTCCAGCCAGTCCCAGAATCGGCAAATAATGTAAGAAATAGAATTCGCTAGGACGACATTCATAGGACACAACTAAGCTACTGAAGTCAGTGTTTCAAGATGGTAATACAAACTGAATTATCGTTACTGTGCCCGAATACACGATACTGAACCTCTGCATTACTAAAATGGCATTGCCACTAGATGTCAGCAATCCTTCGGAGACAACGATGATCAAACACAGAGAGTCGTCTAACATTCTCAACTCGGAGAGGCCAGGTTTCACAAGCATAGAGCAAAACTACTTTCACTGACGCGATGCAGATCCGACCTTTTACAGCCAGACTGACATCACGAAGGCGCCAATGATGGCCGCTCTGGCTCTCACTATACGTGCATTGACTTCATCACTCACACCCCCACCAGCACTTATGCAGCTGCCCAGACACACGAACTTCTCGACTACTTCTATCTGCTCACCATCCAGGGTGAGTACAGGATTAGAATCCTGCCAGTCTTGTAGAAATACTTTGCACTTCGAAGGTGCAAAGCACATACCGTACCTACGGACGCTAATTGCCAACTGATTAAGTGCGGATTGCATGGCTTGGGCATTATCGCAATACCATCCGCATACTCAAGGTCGAGAGGTCTTTCTCCAAGTGACAGATCCACACCACTATTACTTACATCTATCAGATTTTTTATTTGAACACATAGATATTGGTACAAAGAGGGACCAAAAACACATGCGCCACACAAATCTCATTTGATTTGTGTGAGGGCTGTGATACTGCCAGGGTGCCCAAACCGAAGCAGGTGGTTTTCTTAGGGGGCGACACCCCGAGCCTTCGACCTAAAGGTCTGATCCACAAGGCAATAGAGCATCGTAAGGAAATGTAGTCCCATGGTAGCCGGTGACCAACGACTGGTTCATATGCCATTTGTTCCTTCAGGATACTGGAGCCCATGTATGCCATTGGTTTGGAATCCGGTTAAAGCGCCGGACATTCGCTTTTCGTCCTCTCAATTTCGTAAACAACACCGCGCCACGAGAAGGCAGTGAGTAGGACTTCGGTGGCAGAGGCTATATACGAGTGGCCATGTGAGAGCATTTCCAGAGAGAGAGAGCGGACTCTCCCCACTCTCGGCCGTATCAGGGCAGTTAGGGGTTGTTACCAGAACGTCATCGATAGCAAAGTTGAAGAGGAATGTTGAGATTGTGCAACCCTGTCTAACCCCACTGCTCGAATAGAACAATGGAGAGGTAGTTGTATGCCCTCACTCTGCCTGAGGTGTTTGTATATAGGGCTTTTAGGATGTTAATAAACTTCTCAGGTACACTCTTCTTCAATAGACAATCCCATAGAACAGTCCTGTTCAACTAATCGAAGGCAGTCCTGATATCAAGAAACACTCCTGTTAGCACTATAATATCTGTCGAATTCACTTTCGGTAGAAGAACAGACAAGTGGTGATAAAACTCATCCTTGACAGCATCCGAGGTGCAATCTGTCGGGGTGTAGGTGGAAATGATGTAAAGACATCGTTTCTCACAAATATCACGTGGATCAAACTGGTTGAGATGTAGAGACAAAATTTAAGACAGTGAAAAGATGTATATCGTTAGTGACGGGACCATAAACGCACAGGAGCGGACAAGAGGGAGATCAATCAGCTCCCTCCCTCGAAGTACACTCTCATGGTTACCCACATACAGTCTCTGGGACGGAATTCCTACCCATCGCCTTAACATAGCGTACTTTTACGAAAGTAAGAGTATAAAATATGGACGCTCGGCGCCAGTCGCCTTGTGGACGATGTCAGAGACTCGGGAATTAGTCCACTAAGGAAGATACCTATTTCAGTTTTAGCATTCGGAGGTTGTCTTAGCAAACATATATAAAACCGAATATTGATAAGATTAAGATTCACTTAACCCACAAATTACCATGCAAAAACTTTGAAAAACATGACTATTTCATCATAAACAAACGTTTAACGTCATATTGTTTATACGCTTTCTCATACTAATTTCGATCATAAACTCAGCAGATGATCTTTACTACATTTCGTATAAATGGTCTTAGATCGCTGTATGATAGATAAAAAATAGTTTTCAAAATGGCAACATAGCAGTTATATATTTTGACTGGTAACTAGCATACTAATCAATATACTTAGCTATTTCATCGATATGAGTATTACAGTACAATAATCATGTGAAAAGTATGAAGATAGAATTTAATATAAAAGTGTAGATTATTAACTCGGTAGGAAAGTTTACTTCACACGCCAGCATAATACATTATTACGTGTCGGGGGATGTTAAACACCGTTGAGTTATACAAGTCATACAAGCATCTAAATGGTTTGGATGAAACAGAAAAACAAACGCTTGACAATATATATATATATATATATATATATATATATATATATATATAGGTTTTCTAGTTATGTTTAAGAAGAATCATGATATCCAGCATCAGGAAAGGCAAAACCGAGCATTCTGTCGAAAATAACTTACATTTTCTCCAAAAACTTTTCGAGCCGAAGCCAATGTTTGAGGATCCACGTTTATTGCTTTTGGTGCCTCTTCTAAATATTTCTTGTATTGGGCAGCTTCCTCAGCCTAAAGTTATAAAGGTTAAAACAACTCTTTGTAAACGATACATCGCCTAACAGCACACCTTTAGAGCATACTACAATGTAGAAGCATATTCATGTCAAAATAAATCAGAAACAAACGCAGTAACCAAGACAGGACTATGCACACAAGTGACTCAAGGTACGAGATGCTTAGCAATCTTTACAGATAAATTTTTGTTTCCGAAGGGAAGTAAAAGTATCCAAAATTAAATACTCTACTTATAAGGTCCTTTACAAAGTGATGTTCAGAGATAATACTATAAATTTATTATATTGAATCAGATTAAATTCTAAACAACTCCGTACTAATACATAGCGTTCGGAAATTTTACGAGTGCTTTTTTTAACATTTACGAACATAATGTTTACACAAAAAGCAAGGTTACTACTGTAGCTTCTGTTTATAAGTACGTTAAGGAATATTCGGAAATGCAACAAAGTAATATTTGCATCCAGAGTATTTTGAAATTACCTTTTAACTGATCAGTATTATGAAAATTATAAATATCAGTTTCTGTGCTTACTAAAAACATCATAAGAGAATTCTTATCAATTCAGATATGGGATATAATTTTCTGTAATGTCCCATGCACTGACTTTAGTTGTATATTAATTAATAAGAAAACCTGATTCATAAATTAATCAGTTATAGACCAGCAATCTTCAACACTGTTCAAATAAGCTCGAAGTTGTATCATGCCCTGTTCATTAGATATGCCAGAAGTACGGTAGTAAGTGATATTTGAAATACTCTGGTGGAGCCGGAGTTAATTGATGATTCATGGAATATTGCGAAATAATTCCAAAGGCAAAAATATTTATATTCGTCAACCTATAGTCACAACGACAGGATTTCAGTATGTTCCTTATCAAATCAATACAGAAAAAAACTTACTACGAGTTACAAATAACTTTGGTGGGAGATTAAATTTGACTTCAGGTTCCGAATATCAGTTTACAGGTTGTTTTCATTATCTCTTTCGTGTGTGGTGCTGAAAATATCTGCCAACTTGACATGATAATCGGGTTTGCATATCATGATGACTCATCGAGCACTATTTGCTCGGATAATTGTTTTTCTATGTTCTGCCATGCTAGGCAGGGTTTTTGGAGAGTGGTAAAACTTAAATAATTAGACTCGGGGTTCGAGAGAAAGGTCGTACTGTCAACTGTATAGAGATGAAGCGGCAGTAAAGTTTTTCACTCAGGCAACCAGTATCTGCAGGGATGAGGCGTTTTCACTACGGAAGAGGGTTAGGAAAGATCGACTTTTAAATACTGCACCTCACTTTGCTCCACGGATTTTTCCTCCGGTGATATGGGCCTAAAAACACGAGATCAACTTATCTAAAACTACTCCAAAAAGACTTATAGGCCACAGGTTCTTGTTCGCTGGGGACTGCAATGACGCTCCCAGGTTGTTACGACTACAACTTATCCAAATTGCTTTTAAAGTACTTCAATTAGAACCATTTTCCACAGTGTGGACGACCGGGAAGCGATAATCAAACTCATGACTTTAACAACACACATCACCTCGTTCATAATCTGCTATATCCCGACGAAAATTATGAATGGCAACTCTTAAGAACTATTTATGGTCCAATACAATGCATATATTTTTATTGCATAATTATTAAGTAGTTAAACTAAGCATATTCATATTCCTCTTATTAAAAGCTTTATTTTGACCCATACACTTATTATACGATTTACCGTTCTTGAGTTCTGCCCAGTCTACTAATTACAGTCTCCCACATTCACAGCCACTTTTTGCGAAGTCTTGTACAAATGTTATTTTCTATTTTATGGTACGATGTGATCTGTTTGGTTTGTATATAAACCCAGTATGTTTGAAATATATGATGCAAATCGCAGAGCCTGAAATTGGTGTTCTGGACTTAACAGGCAGGGCTAGGCAGGAAGCAGGACCGATAAGGACTCTAGACTGCTCATACGGGTTTACGCTTCATTAGTCTGGTCGATAAATCACTGTTCTCTAATTGGTGGTGTCGTTACGTTATATATTATTAGGATACAAGGCCAAAAATTATAACAATTGGCGACGGGGATAACATTATCAAACCATATCTTTATTGCTGAATTTTTTCCTATACCCACTATTAAACCTCATCTGTCTTCAACTACTCAGATATGTACCACCAGTGTTAAAAACGTGAATTCAAAAAGTGCTATCCCAGGTTTCTTGAAATCATGCTTCAAGCTACATGTTGAAGCTTTTAATGTTCGAACCCTATGTCAATTATTACAACTTGACAACTTGAACCAATGTCAATTATTACACTAAGTATCACTAATTAGGACAAACAAATCTCGTGCTATCGATGTGCGCAGTGTTTCCGAAACACACACGGAAGCTTAATGTGGCCAATCATTTGAACTCATTTGGTCAGTATGGAGAGTTGACGCGATATGCCCTTCATGTATCTGAAGGCGCGATAGCAACTTCTTGTGGTTTTGATGTAAGCATAGAAACCAGGCTCTTCACACCCAGATTCGTATTGATGGTTCCTTATACACCCACTATCTTATTGGAAAAGTGGGAACTTTGAGAGATGGGGACATACACAATTGTCATTTTATTGTCTCCCCATGCTCTTATTGACCGCAGGTCTGAAGTAGTAAAAGATCAGCTTTACAGAAAGACTAGTGACCTTCAGAAATTCAGGGGCTCAGACGTTAAACCAAAAAACACTTCCGTGGATGCTATAGTTTCCCAACTTAGTGAACACATAACCGTGACCATCTGTTGCAATCACCCTCAGATTTTAGACATAAGGGAAGACACTGTTCACCTGGGGACTCCCGACGTCAACACAACGATGGACACAAATTGATCATCATCTTTGGAGAGGCTCAGTAGAAGGGTGTCGCCCATTTTGGGGTGTATAATCAAACTTATCATTGCTTAGTGAGAGTTCTGATTTCTACTTATTTTACTGAACGTAAGAAGACTCCTTAGATATCAACTCTACGATGAAAAAGTCAAGGAGACATTCAGGCGAGTTAGCTAAGCACAAAGTCGGTCATAAAGAGGCAGGTCACCCTACAAAACTTGAAATGATATTCAAATAGCTGCGAACACAGTAGTAGAATATACCAACAATTTAACTCAAAACGGTTTGGAGAGCCCAGTGGATTTCGGTGGTGTCGACTAAATTGACAGATGTTCGAAAACGAATTCCTTCAAGCTCGCGGAACAACAAAAAGCAGCGAAAATTCGTACATAAACTGAAAAAATCCTAAGCAATCACCGTGAGCAGTGGTGGGTAATGGGAGCAGAAGGGATGGAGAAAGCAGTAGAGATATGTAACGCTAAGTAACTTATTTATCTCATCAATGAAACAGGCATTATAAAAGCATCCATTAGTGAGACTATTTAGAGAAAAGATAGAGCTATTGTTCACTTTTAGTCCAGATTAGATGATGAGCAGAAAACGTTTAGGGACAGTTCGACTGGCTCCTAACTGCCCTTCAGTTACTCTTTATTTCCAAACAACCTGGATGAAACGTTGATAAGAATTCCCCAGCTCTTAGTGAGGTTTAAAAGGTAAGAGAAAGCAGCATGTCCAAGTGGATTAGCCCCAGAGACTTCAAGGGACGATGTTCCAGTTTTAGCTGCAAAACTGATTGAGATACAAGCTACAGTTTGAGAGCTAAATATGATTCCATTTGACTAGTTTCGTTACAGTTTATAAGAGAGGGTAGAAATTCTGTGACAACCGCTGATGGATCAGTTTGACAAATGCTATACCTAAGATACCTAAGACGCATTATGGGAATATGTAAATGATCTCCATATAATAACACTCTAAGGACAGGAAAGCGGTTGTTTTTTGCTGCTATCGCGACATTCGCTTTTAGCTTAACTAGCGTCATTGGTAGAACCACATAATTGTTATGCGACAGCTTTCCGTTATAGGTACATCCGGTGATTTTCAAAACAGAATTTGACGACCCATATACTGACATGACGGCGGAAAAAATCAGTATGATAGACTTTATTCTGTAAATGATATTACAGATCTCATAGACTGTACCCCTCATTGGGTTGCATATCATAGTCTTATGTGGACTTGACCAGATCGAAACATTAATGTTGATGTGTTTTATTGATTCGAGATGTAGTAGGATGTGCAGCAAGGATTTAGGTTGATCATGCATAACATAGAAAACGAAAACAGAAATTATGCCTTAAAAACACATCATAGATTGATGGCAGAAGGAATGGGTGCATTGTATCATCGTGGACTTAACTATTCCGTGTATCTTGGGATGCATTAAATGCTGAAACGTAGGTGAGAACTTGAAAACACAGAAACACTAGTCAGGGTTTCCACAGTAGATTCGTATTACAACTTTCCACAGGAAGTGAGAACCAAATACTTGCAAAACATATTTTTTCCCTATAAAGTTTGCTCGTTAGATGACAACTTATAGACGACTTTTGAGTAATACTTGTGTTTTGGGGAAGGTTTAACAACTTACTTAAAATTGAAATAGTTATAAATAGGTGTAGACGATCGGAACTAGAATTTAGTCGTAAGTTGAGATTAAGAACCAAGATTGGGGTTCTCGGTACGAAATGACGTCATCTATGATGCAGAAATGTAATCTAGCCATGTGAATGAGTGGACTGTGTGTCAAAACCCAAGATTCACAATCTTGAGTCTGACTGGTTTGTGTATAAATTAGTCTCACCGACTTACTAAATTCTTTTCGGAGTAACATGAAAAAGGAGACTGTCAGCCGACATCTAATGCAGGCTTGCTACGTAAAGACGCACAGAATTCCGTAAAAAGCTAATACACAAATCCTCAGTAATTACCAAGTATGAAGCCTAACACACACCACCGACTAGGCCAAAGGAACAACACTTGAAAGTGGTGGCAGTATGAAGCAATAACAATCTGCTTATAGCTGCCAAAGCTCAAAAAACATTGAAGCGATAGCAAGAGTCTGTTATAAATCAGTTCAAATGTTATGATGAAATTCAATTACGACAGACAAAAGGTATGTGTGTTGATCTAAAGAACTCACATTGTCTAAAGTTGGTATGACAGGAACCGACACAATGCACGCGATTGTGAGAAGAAATAGAGCAAAGATAATCTGAAGCTATTAATCTACAATGATTACCCGAAACGTACCATTACAGAGAACAAACTCCCAGTTCCAAGTACCGCCAATTAGGACCTCGAGTCCAATCAAATTGGTTTGATATAGAAAAACAAATTATTTAAAACCCTGCAAAAAGATTTTACCGGAACAAATCACTTTCTGACATAAAAGACTCAACTCTCACAACCATTTATAAATAAACCTATAATCGCTTATTATGCAACAGTATCACTGAAATAGATGCACAATGTCTCATATATATACTGGAGCAGAGTATACTGGTCATTCATCACAGTATCAATATGCATTGTTTCATCCTTCCATCTGGAATTGACCATTTAAAAAGTTTAAAAACCCGAAGCAAATCATTTACATGTGAAGTTCCGTTTCTCTTACCAAGTAGTGATTTACTAAAATTGTCTACCAGAACATGTTATATCAGCACATTCTGTTTATTAATTCAAAGCGAGATTGGGTTTTCACGGAGCTACAGCTTGCATGGACCAATAAAGATTAATTTACGTCCTATCCTTACAAGAGGAGAAGGGATAGTTTGAAGTGAGATATTTAATGTTAGGCTTAACAATCATTCAACAATATTGTATTCCATAAGGCAGACAGACAACTTTGTAACAAACATTGATTCTCAGTTTCATTAAAACTAAAGCAATATTGGTGACCGATGGTGTGGGAGATCGAGAGTATCAATCAATGCTGTGTGAATGAGATAATACATCTTGGCATAGCTCGGAATCAATGAAACCCATCGGGCCCATACCGGAGAGTAAATGACACATTCGTGAAAAGGTTCTTCTACCCTAATCATGAAGATGAAAATACTTCGCACACGCAATGACGTGGTCTAGAGATGTATGAAATGCATTTAAACAATGAGAACATCATGAATCCAGAATATTCCGAGTCATTCACAATAAAGAAGGAGAGCATCACGAACAATGTTATCCAGTGTAATGAGTCGACCAATAATAGTAATGAATACCGAATTTCCAATAGGTAGCAATCGATTATGGAAAATGAGCTCAATGCCAAAGTCTGAATGGAAAACATTGGGTATGTGGGTATCATAGAACGACATAGATCAGAAGAAAAAACAAATATTGGGATAGATCTGCAACAAAATAGTCTCAACGGCTGACACCAGGAAGAACTAGATCATATTCACATCAAAAAAAAATTAAAAACAACAGTAGAAGATGTGAGAACCAGGAGAGGAGCTAAAATGGCTTCATTTCACCATCTGGTTGTGGCCAAGTTGAAACTGAAGCTAAAGAAGCACTGGACAACTGGACAAACAGCAGTATAAAGGTTCAATACAACCTTTCTATGACATAATAACAAATTCAACGACTTGAAGACAACTCTCAACAACAGGTTCCAAGTCTTACAGGATCTACTGGAAGAAGAAGAAACTACTACGGAGGAAAACTGGAAAGGTACCAAATAAGCATTAACTTCAACATCTCAGGAGGTTTTAGGCCGCAACAAGCATCATCATAAGGAATGGGTCCCCATCGAAACCCCATACAATATTCAAGAAAGGAAGAATAGGAAAACGGCAATCAACAACAGCCGAACAAGGGTAGAGGAAGCCAAAGTACAATCTGGATACACAGAAGCAAACAAGCAAGTGAAGAGAAGCATTAGAACTGACAAGTAGAAATACGTGGAAGATCTGGCAACGACAGTGGAGAAAGCTTCAAGTGAAGGAAATATGAGACAACTATATGACACACCGAAGAAACTGGTAAGGAAATATAGTAAACTAGAGAGAGACCACTCAAGGACAAAGAAGGCAAGACAATCACCAAGATTCAAGAGCATAGGAACAGATGGGTGGGACTCTTGAATATACCACCTCCACTCAGTCCACCGGACATCGAAGCAACACTCACAGACGTTTTTACAGAGGTCACTCCTCCAACGATCGAAGAAATCAGGATGGCCATCAGACAAATCAAGAGTGGGAAACAACAGAACCTGACAATATACCAGCTGAAGCACTGAAGTCAAACATAGAAGTAATTGCAAACATGCTTCACGTTCTATTCGGGAAGATTTAGGAGGACGGACAATTGCTGACGGACTGGAGAGAAGGACACCTCATCAAGATACCAAAGAAAGTAAATCTGAGCAAGTGTGAGGACTACAGAGGCATCACATTACTATAAATACCAGGAAAAGTTTCCAACACAGTGTTGCTGAACCGGATGAAAGACTCAATCGACGCACAACTTCGAGATCAACAGGCTGGATTTCGCAAGGATCGGTCATGCACAGACCAAATCGCGACACTACGGATCATCGTTTAACAATCGGTTGAGTGGAACTCGTCATTATACATCAGCTTCCTTGATTATGAGGAAGCATTTGACAGTGTGGATAGGAGAACACTGGAAACCTCTTCGACACTATAGTGTGAGTATTTGAGAAGATCGTCAACATCATCCGGAATTCATACGAAGGACTACCCTGCAAAGTGGTGCATGGAGGACAACCCACAGACGCATTCCAAGTGAGGACCGGAGTCAGACAAAGCTGCTTACTCTCCTCCTTCCTCTTTCTTCTAGTGGTCGACTGGATTATGAAGATCTCGACATCTGAGGGAAAGCACAGAATACAATGAACAGGTTGGATGCAACTACACGATTTGGATTTCGCAGATGAACTAGCTCTTCTATGCCATACACACGAATAAGTGCAGATGAAGACAGCCAGTGTAACAGCAGCTTCTACATCAGTAGGCCTCAACGTACACAAGAGAAAAAAGCAATATCCGGAAATACACAACACGGAGAACACCAACCCAATCACACTTGATGGAAGATGTGGAATCTTTCACGCACCTGGTCAGCACCATCGGTGAACGTGGAGGATCCGATGCAGACGAGAAAGTGAGGATTGATAAAGCAAGGACGGCATAACTACAATTGAAGAACATATAGAGCTCAAAACAACTGTCAGCCAATATCAATGTAATGATCTTCAATACGAACGTCAAGACAGTTTTGCTATACGGAGCTGGAAGTTTGAGAACAACTTCAACGATCACCAAAATGATACAAGTATTTATAAATAGTTGTCTATTCGGGATACTCAATGCCCGTTGACCGGATCGGATACCATCAGCAGCAGCCAACTGTGGTGTGGAGGAGGACGAACCAGCTTCAATCTGAAGAGGAAATTATGAAACGAAGCGAGAGGTGGATAGTACATACACTGAGGAAATCACCAAACTGCATCACAAGGTAAGCCCTAACTTGGAATCCTGAAGGGAAAGAGAAACTAGGGAGACCAAGGAACACATTGAGTCGAGCATTGGAAGTAGACATCAAAGGGATGAATATTAACTGGAAAGGATTGCCCAGGACAGAGTTGGATGGAGAGTGTTTGTGGGCGACCCATGCTCCTCCACGAGAGGTTACAAGCGTAAGTAGGTAAGTAAGCAAGCAAAAGTGAAATTAAATACTAAAAGCTTCAAGGTATTCAAAAGTACAGGTTATAAATTGCTTCTAAAAAAGCAGTTATTTCTGTGACTGCTTGAACTGAAATTCAAATTTAAGTGAATACAGTAGCTGTTATACGTAGTAAACAATCAGAACAATAAATTCATATCAGCGGTGAGACTGTAATTCATCCGTTAAACAATCCGGTTTATGATAGCGGGTCTTAGATTTTGGCGTGAACTGCATCCTTTTATTTAGCTAGATAACATTTCGGAATCCCAGTTGATGTCAGTTAGTGATAAAAACCACAAATCTATTTCTTACCCTAACCATCAACTGGAAATCATAATTCTAATTCCCCACACTGGTTTATGACCTTCATTTAGTCCTAGTTAGTGGGTGAACATTCTCGAGGTCACTTTAGCATCGCTCAAAGGTCGTCCATAAATTGTGGTCTCATTGATGTAAATTATTCCAAGATGTTTACAATTGAGTGACCAGATAGTCGAAAAGACAACTGTACTCACTGACCACAATACACTTGAATGATTCGACAACATGGAGTTTATATACAAACTGGGTATACCCAGCCCCTCCTTGTAATAAATTCCAAGTTATCCTAATTTTAGGCTTGTTGTGCTACTGGTTGTTTTTTCTTTGTTTTCCTTATTAGGACCAAGTGCATTTTATGCACTTACTGAGTTTTCGGCTTACTTTTCCTCCTGTTTTTCCAACTTTCAGCTATCCTCACACATACAACTCTTTGCACTCCTATAGTACCTAAAGTACTACCAGGCTAGACGTGAACAGACACTTGACCAACTGCGTCGATGAAGGTCACTAAGCACTTATGGTATCATATCCAATGTTGCTTGAAAGCAACTAGTCCCATGGTATGCCCGTCAGCGAAGTATGGTACAAGGATGTTGGAAATTAAAGACGTTGAGTTGTGGGAATTGATACGAAAAGAAAAAACTAGACAACGATCATCACTCGAATTAATTGCTTCGGAAGTATGTTCCTTGGCCCATCTGTATGCATTTTCAGAACTTTGTATCACAAAGTATTCTTGAATGCCTTGGCTCATGTTTAACAAACAAATATTCAGAAGTAAGCAAGTAAGTAAGTAAGTAAGTAAGTAAGTAAGTAAGTAAGTAAGTAAGTAAGTAAGTAAGTAAGTAAGTAAGGTTTATTGTCAAAAGTATGTATACTTAATATAAATAAAGGCAATTATGTTAACCTATCGCAACATAGGATCTGGCATGAACGACTAAGGATTCACATCAAACCTCGAAGTATTACGATTAGAAGAATGGTAGTGGTATCCAGCTCAGAGAACAAGACTCCATCAAAATCACTCATGTGAGCTACAAATCTTCTGCACCATCTCAAAAAGGTATTATTTGGTGTTTACTCTAACGGAAACAGTAAAAAGGGAATAACGGGAAATTGAAAAGTACGTAATAAAAATGTATTTAAGATCTGGAAGACAATAAATGACCAATTACTGTCGACTTGGGGTCATTTCATTCGACGTATCCATTTGAATACTGAGATTATTCCATGGA